ATCTTTTAGGCAAGATGTATATGTGTTCCTAGTGATGGGGCTATATGTTTATATAATTACTGCCGATATATATTATTGTGTTCATTGCAATTTTGGACACATGATTTTATTCATCTTTTAGGCAAGATGTATATGTGTTCCTAGTGATGGGGCTATATGTTTATATAATTACTGCCAAACTAACTGGAAACATGAATGGTGTCATCTAGTGTATATTACCTACATCTATGAATGCACCCAATCTGTACCAAATGTAGAAAATATTCTTTAAAATCGTCAATACGTCCAATGGTTGAGAGCTGCAACGAGGCAAGAAATCAGGAAAAATCTACACAAAATCTTACAATATTTGATTTTGGCCAAACTACAAAATAAAATTTTAAATTATTACAAAAAAAAAGGCTTTTAAAGATTAGAAAATAATTAAATACCAACCATGAAACATAAGTCTGAAATGTCCCTATCTTACGATACAAGATTAATTATTCATTTCTGTTCTGTTGCTAATGTATATTTCTGGTCCGTTGCTAATGTATATTTAACTCTTTGAGTTCTCTGCGATCTTACAATTCTGGAAATTAAACAGATAATTTATTGTTCTTTCATAAAATTTTCTCACCGATATAATTTTGAAATATCTGTTTTTCATTTTTTTCTGTTGGAGAAATTAACAATCCAAAACCCAATAGCCTTGATTTGCTTAATGATGAAATGCATGTACAAATTAAATGCAACATAACTTTGTGATTGTCATTATTTTTATCATTATTCGCAATCCTGAGATGTGGTTATATTTCTTTGGATATGATTACATTGCCTTATCACGTATTCTGCCTGATGGACAAAACAGAATGAGGTGAATAATTTCTGGGGAAAACTATGAGAGTTATCTCCCTTAGGGAGCATTCTTTCACTCTGTAGTAAAATATTCTCGTTCTTCAGCTCTACATGAGTGCAGTCTATGTAATGGGCAGTTGTTATTGCACACACAATTTTCTTTCATTGGTGTTTATTTCCTTTTCGGATATAAAACATTAATTGGGGTCATCCGCCTGAAACCATGGTCTTTTTTAGGTGCTATGGACATCATTCCTTCAATATATTAAAGCCCCTGCATGCTTCTGTACAGCCCACATATTTCAAAAGAGAAATTAATACAATCATTTTATATGCTTGTTTCATAATTGTTGAAAATCAGATAAAAAAAAAAACAAATTTCAGAAAAACATCAAAATGTTTTATTTATAGGGAACTGATGATTGCTCAATTGTCAACATCAGTAAATTGATCTACAAATCTATTGGGGCATCAGTACATTGATCTACAGATCTATTTGGGCATCAGTAGATTGATCTACAAATCTATTGGGGCATCAGTAAGTTGATCTACAAATCTATTTGGGCATCAGTAGATTGATCTACAAATCTATTGGGGCATCAGTACATTGATCTACAGATCTATTTGGGCATCAGTAGATTGATCTACAGATCTATTGGGGCATCAGTAGATTGATCTACAGATCTATTTGGGCATCAGTACATTGATCTACAGATTTATTTGGGCATCAGTAAGTTGATCTACAGATCTATTGGGGCATCAGTAGATTGATCTACAGATCTATTTGGGCATCAGTACATTGATCTACAGATCTATTGGGGCATCAGTAGATTGGTCTACAGATCTATTTGGGCATCAGTAGATTGATCTACAGATCTATTGGGGCATCAGTACAATGATCTACAGATATATTGGGGCATCGGTAGATTGATCTACAGATCTATTGGGGCATCAGTAAGTTGATCTACAGATATATTGGGGCATCAGTAAGTTGATCTACAGATCTGTTGGGGCATCAGTAAGTTGATCTACAGATCTATTGGGGCATCAGTAAGTTGATCTATAGATCTAATAGGGCATCTATTGGTTAGGTTTATTGCTGTTTTCATGAAGACATCATGCATATATTTGAAAACATGCATTACGATCTTTTGCTTTAAATTCTGAAAACTTAAAGCATCCCCATACCGCTGCCAAAAACTGTTACAGAAAAAAACTGTGTTTTCCAGCATGACAATAGCTTTGATAAATCATTTCTGAAAAGGAAATCATACCTTACAGGACTTTTATGAGAAAAGGAAAAAAAAAGAAATAAACAAGATACAATCAACAACCACAGTTCTGAGTTTAAAAACACACCAGGTGGCTTTACTTCAGGATTCGAACCCTGTACCTCAGACTGCTTACCTATTGCTCTAACTGATTGAGCTACATGGTCAACGGACGCGTTCTGGCCCATCAGTTGTACAGTTATATCTGAATGTAAGTTAAGTGGAGGTTACTGTATATAGGATAAATCACAGTGCAGTGTGACAGGGGTCCTTAAGGTGAGGTTACTTTATATAGGATAAATCACAGTGCAGTGTGACAGGGGTCCTTAAGGGGAGGTTACTGTATATAGGATAAATCACAGTGCAGTGTGATGGGGGTCCTTAAGGGGAGGTTACTGTATATTGGATAAATCACAGTGCAGTGTGACAGGGGTCCTTAAGGGGAGGTTACTGCATATAGGATAAATCACAGTGCAGTGTGACAGGGGTCCTTAAGGGAGGTTACTGCATATAGGATAAATCACAGTGAAGTGTGACAGGGGTCCTTAAGGGGAGGTAACTGTATATAGGATAAATCGCAGTGCAGTGTGACAGGGGTCCTTAAGGTGAGGATACTGCATAAAGGATAAATCACAGTGAAGTGTGACAGGGGTCCTAAAGGGGAGGTTACTGCATATAGGATAAATCACAGTGCAGTGTGACAGGGGTCCTTAAGGGGAGGTTACTGCATAAAGGATAAATCACAGTGAAGTGTGACAGGGGTCCTAAAGGGGAGGTTACTGCATATAGGATAAATCACAGTGCAGTGTGACAGGGGTCCTTAACCATTTCACCCCTCTATAACTTTACTGAACTCTACCATGCATTGATCTGGTTGTGTCCATTATGGTCTACAGTGGTGAAAGGGTTAAGACATCACAATTCCTAACTACAGATAGAATCATCACATATTCAGTTAGGTACTACATGTTATGCGTATAGGATCCTGAACTTTGGTCAATATTTTCCCAGTTCCAAAGTATGGCTACAATATCTACAATTACATATATCTAATTTGAGTTCTTTACTTCAACCTCTTGTTAATTAACCATTAAATACTTTGGTGAATCTCTTTATAAGACAACATAAGCATTTTTCGGGTATCATGTGATAAGCATAACTTAGAGTTGTCTTCCTTAAAGGGGCTGCATTTCAAACAACCAGAAATGCAAATGCAATTTTTTAATGTGTTTCACAACATTTCATCGTAAAATGGTCCACAAAAAGGATGCTTTTTTGTGAAGATTTGATTTAAAATTTGAAGGATTGTTCTTCAATATGATTAGATCTCTACATCATAAAGTGGTCCTCACAACAGATGGGGCGTGCTGTTATTCACACTGGAGCTGTCATATATTGTGAATTAAGCTTCCCAATGCATAATTTTACTCTAATTTTCAAAGGGTAATGTTCCCCCCTGGTCTGTTTTCTTTGCCGAGATAAAAGCTACAGGAGGTCACTAGCACTACCTGGGATAATGGGCGATACAATCCTAATGTTCAGATGTACTCAATAACTCCGTCGGAACAATACCACCAATAATAACGCCAGTTCCCTCTCCATGGCCAAAGCTTGGCTACATCAAACCCCTGTATCAGTTATTGGAAAGGCAAATAATGTGTATTGTGTAGCTCTTTGTTGTGGGAAGTGTTTCAGTGGGTGTTCCTAATACAGGGAGTGCTGTCTGTGGCAAGATGTCCCAATTCTGTTACTGGCTTATTAACTTGTGGTCATGGTACTTGTACCGGCTGTCAGGCATCAAACATTCTGTCTACATGAAAGGTGACGTTTAATATGTCAATACATTAAAAAGGCGCTAGATTTTATACATGATTTTGATATTCAATTTGAAGTCCCTCACTTTTTTTTTTGCTAGTCATTGCTTGCCTTGATTTCTGCCTTTTATGTCAATTTTATTGACTCAAAATTCATTGAATTCCTTTTAAATGTGATTTTACTTGTCAGAAATTTGTCATAGTTTCTGATATTATCATTTCTAATATTTTTAGGTGTGCTTCACAATATAAATAAAATTGAAGAAAAATCTCTCATATTATGATATTCAATGGAAAAGCATTTTACAATGGTTTGTAAAGTTAAAATCCCTGTCAGAGAAGGAAAAACAGATCCTTTTTTGTAAAGTTTTAAGTAACTGATCTGGATTAGAAGTTTTGAGTGTATTCACTGGAACTACAAGGTCATGAAAAGGTTATAGCAAGGTCATCTGCTGGTGAACCCTGTACAGTGTCCTAAACTATAAGACGAAGCACACAAGAGGATGTGCTTTCTCGTTAAAGAATTCAAGAATATTAAATGGGCCTGATGTTTATGGAGAAAAAAAATCCAGAATAAATAAATTTCAGTCAAAAGTTATCACGCTTGTAAGTGGTATAAGTAATATTGTGACAGGAGTTATTCCAAAGTTGTCGCTTTGACTGTGGTATTTGTATGTCGAAGTTGTTTGAATAAAGATCAATGTTGCACTCTGCAATGGTATAGCAACCTGTATAGACAAGAATAGTCTACTGTCTGTGTGTGGTCCTTTACTTATTATGTCAAAGATGTTTGAATAAAGATCAATGTTGCGCTCTCCAATGGTAGCAACCTGTATAGGCAAGAATAGTCTACTGCCTATGTGTGGTCCTTTACTTATTATGCTGATGTCTGTTGACTTATATTAGATTATCATGATATATCTTTTGTGTATCCCCCTTTTTCACCAGGTACGTGGTCTGCCTTCAGCTGTTAGTATATGTTTACTTCCTTTCCAGTGTCAGTTTTAATATGACACATATCACACAAAATGGCTTAGTTTTCAATTTCATCAAACTTCAAAGATATCAAGACAGCATCTCAATTAAAACATTGTTTATTTTCCAGAATGTTTATACAGAAGTTCTTGGTTATTAAAGATCAAAATAATCTAGACTAGGAGATTTACAAAACTTGTCCTGATCAAGTTTCCTTTTAGCTGACGAAATTTTTAATGTATATGTAGCATGTCCAGAAGTTTCCTTTCAGTGCTGGCTTTATAAAGGCCTAATTCACTAGTCTGTGAATTGCCTTTTCGGTGGCCTACTAGGCCTATAGGAACTTATCCAGAAGTTGCTGTTTAGCTGGCTGAAGGCTTGTCAATATGACAAAGTTGAGGTTTTGTATTTTTGTAGATCTCAGGAAATGAAAAACTCATTTAAGATACCCGACTTGCATGCCTGACATCCTGTATAATGCTGTACTTAGTTTTACGAGAAATAAACTTCCCCGCAATACTGTTCATAATCAAATCCTCTCTTAGAACATCACCAAACTGGTTGGATTTGTATTTCACTTCTTTTGTAGTTCATGGAGACAGAATGAAATCAAACTACTGCAGACTTTCAGCACAATTCAATAGCATCATTGTGTCAGTATTTTTAACAAATTACAATATGTTAAAAACGGGGATATAAAGACATATTTTCCTTATAACTTATAAAGCTCCCCCGGCCTTTTCATTCTTGATCCTCACCGATTATTGAATCTAACATTTTCACGTCCAGATATATATCGGTAGATGTTTATGCTGACATGGTAGCTATTAGGGTGGTGTTCCTATTACAGTATTATCACTAGCTGTAAACCTCTAGTCTATGTGAGGTGTAGCTACAGCATACAGTATCAATCACACAACATTTGTACACTAGACATCGACAAGGATATAGTTACAGACATGTTAACACGGACAAAATGGCTGACATGAGGATAACGATATGTGATATGTATAATGGGTTTCCGGCGTTGTAATCGTTTTGGTAACTGTTGTAGTCCCGCGATCTTGAACTTCCTGATTGATAGCGAACTCTTACTTCATCGAATTCAAAACTGCGTTCAATGGTACGACCGTTGAGTGGTTGGACTGGCCTGAAGTTGTTGACCAGGTATTCCTGGATTAATTCTATCTCGTCCACCTCAATCTCTGCCCCAGCGTTGTTTTGATGGTGACGACTGCCGTGGTCAGCATGGTGTCTAGGTTCTGGCTCTGGTGTGGGTTCCTCCTCATGGTCCGCATGGTCTCCGTGATCTCCGTGATCTCCATGGTCTCCAATTGTGGGTTTGGTTTCACTTTCATCTTGCGCTTGTTTTGGAACCTCTTCATCGTACAATTGAAATTTCGTTGGTGTTTCTCCGATTTTGGCGTGACCAACTGGATCGTGTTCATGATGATCAGGTGGAGAAGTGTTCAATTCTAATTCACGCTTTAATGCTGCTTCCAGTTCCAACTCCTCTGCTATGTTGCCCTTAATTCCAGCCTCGTCAAGAGCAGCTGCCGAACCTCTCTTCATATGTCGCCGGTTTCTCTTGGGTTTATGCTTCCTGTGTTTCTTTTGTAAAACTTTTCTAAATTTGGCAAGCTGAAATTGATAAAGATGAAACTTCAGAATTCTGTAGAAGCAAAATGTTGTCAAGTGAAATGCCCATGGGAAACAAGCTGCCAACCATTTCCAGGGAATAACGATCACCCACCAAATTAATTAGACTTGCTTTGTAGAGTTTAAGTGAATATAAGATCGCTATTGAATATGGAATAGCAAACTACAAAAAGTCATGTGGCTTTTTCTTTAAGTCAGATTTGATACAATGAAATTGCTAGGTCAAGTTAAAATTATAAAGTCATCATGGTTCATATCTCTATATGTTTTCATATTGTTGACGACAATTCCAGCAAAGTTTTTGGTGATTTTTTTCCCTGTTGATTACATAACTTTAACATACTGTTCTTGATCAAACAGATTTTAAAGTTAAAAATAGTAGATTAAATGATTTTTTTTTAAAAATAAAAATCACATATAGTGTTAAATTGGTCGTTTGATATATACAAATTGTAACATTTACAAAATATAAACCGGTACTTTCAAAATTCCAATAAGTCTCTAATACTACTTTTAGCTCCAGTTCGATTTGTTGTTGATCACAATAGGATGACACAAATATATAATCAACAGGAAAAATATAATCGACAGGAAAAAACACCCAATTTTACGTGGACTTTTCATCGTCATCAATTGTGCCTGTGGGTTAGGCTATGTTGTATCAACCAAAACATAGTGATGTGATTAAATACGACAAGTTTTAATAAGATGGATGCTGATATTTCTGTTGCTAAAAAATATTCAAAATTGGTCGATCAGAAAATAAGAACTGTTTATCATACTTTAGAGAACTATGGTAAAAAGTTGGGAACAGTGTTTACCTGTCTAAAAGAGATTGTCTGTTTGTCCTCAAACACAGTCCAGATGACACTTTCGAAGCAGCCCGGGGTGGTCAGAGACCCGTTGTATCGGTAATATTTACTGGTGTCCTCTGGTAAAAATTCCCGCATCCTTGTGGCGGGGATTTCTACCTCCATATTGATGTCTGTAACAAATTGCGCAGTTTTATATACCACGGATAATAATTTGTGAACCGCTTTGAGACAACCTACGAACTAGGTTGTGATAAAGCGGTATATAAGAACCTCAAATTATTATTATTATTATCATTATTTTACTTCATTGTTTAGAACATAACTCTAAACATCATATTGTGACCCCTTTTTTAGTTCCCTTTTTTTTAGTCCTATGCAAAGAGATATTATCTGATGAATACAACTTATAAGGACCAGATTGTAAATGTTTTAAAACTTTGAAGTGTAAATGTTGTACGTTGTATCACCAACCTGGATCCTGGATCATGTCCAGCGCCTCTATGATTGGTGTCAGGACAGGGTTGTCTCTCTCACTGATCTGTGAAGGAGACGGAGATCAAGTAAACATATTACATCAAAGTCTGGAGGATGTTTATTGTAATATCACATACATGTAGCTTATACATGGTATTATAAAAAGTTACCAACTTATGTAATCCTACTCGTAAGTAAGGATGTCAAACAAACCCTATATCATAGCTTATCCTTGAATAAAACACTCACTTTGGTTTGTCTCTAAGTTAGGTAAGGTAGATGATAGAGGGTGGAGGCGGGTATTAAATATACAGAATGGAAATTTTGTCTGAATTATTGCAATCCTTCATTAAAACATACATGAACAAATGTCAAGATTGTTGGTGGTAGTTTGGGTGGTGAGAAAGAGGGATCAAATGTTAATGGTTCCTGTGTGAGAAGTATAGGGGAAGATGTTAATGGTTCCTGTACTGTGAGAAGTATAGGGGAAGATGTTAATGGTTCCTGTGTGTGGAGTATAGGGGAAGATGTTAATGGTTTCTGTGTGAGGAGTATAGGGGAAGATGTTAATGGTTCCTGTGTGAGAAGTATAGGGGAATATGGTAATGGTTCCTGTGTGAGAAGTATAGGGGAAGATGTTAATGGTTCCTGTACTGTGAGAAGTATAGGGGAAGATGTTAATGGTTCCTGTGTGAGAAGTATAGGGGACTATGGTAATGGTTCCTGTGTGAGAAGTATAGGGGAAGATGATAATGGTTCCTGTGTGAGAAGTATAGGGGAAGATGATAATGGTTCCTGTGTGAGAAGTATAGGGGAAGATGTTAATGGTTCATGTGTGAGGAGTATAGGGGAAGATGTTAATGGTTCCTGTTTGAGGAGTATAGGGGAAGATGTTAATGGTTCCTGTGTGAGGAGTATAGGGGAAGATGTTAATGGTTCCTGTTTGAGAAGTATAGGGGAAGATGTTAATGGTTCCTGTGTGATGAGTATAGGGGAAGATGTTAATGGTTCCTGTGTGAGGAGTATAGGGGAAGATGTTAATGGTTCCTGTGTGATGATTATAGAGGGAGATGTTAATGGTTCCTGTGTGAAGAGTATAGGGAAGATGTGAGTACAAACCTCGAACATGACTCCCAGCACAGCTAATCCCTGCTGTTTCACCATGGCATCTGCAATGGTCTCATACTTGTCAGCATCCCAGTTCACTACGTGTAGCTGTGGGAAGAGAGATAACTCTTGGATCTCGGATGAAGATATTGTGTTCTAGCTGAGCTAGTGTCTCTACTCAGTTAAAGAATCCTTTTGAATAATTCAATTTTGAAAGTAAAGAGTTTTGTCTAGGGCCTGATTTCAGCTCAGAAGCTTACAAAATATATGAATTTCACAAATTCAAAATAATCAGTTATAAAATGACATGATTGCAATATTATATGAAAACCATCCAGTCAGGATTATTTACCTGAATATTCAGGTATGCCTAAATCTGAAACCAAATTAGTCTGGCTCAGTTGTAATTTAATTACTTTAGAACTAGCCCATTCATTACCTTTACCTCTATAGGACTAGCTTGTATAGGATTAGTAAGATCATTTCTCACCTCTATAGGACTAGCTTGTTTAGGATTAGTAAGATCATTTCTTACCTCTATAGGACTGGCCTATCAAGTCTAGCAGGGTCATTTGTCTTACCTCTATACTTGCTTGTTTAGGGCTAGCAAGGTCACTTACCTCTATAGGACTAGCTTGTTCAGGATTAGTAATATCATTTCTTACCACTATAGGACTGGCCTGTTAAGTCTAGCAGGGTCATTTGTCTTACCTCTAGAGGACTGGCCTGTTAAGTCTAGCAGGGACCTTTGTCTTACCTCTATAGGACTGGCCTGTTAAGTCTAGCAGGGTCATTTGTCTTACCTCTATAGGACTGGCCTGTTTAGAACTAGCGAGGTCACTTACCTTTATAGGACTAGCAAGGTCACTTACCTCTATAGGACTGGCTTGTTTAGCAGGGTCATTTGTCTTACCTCTATAGGACTGGCCTGTTTAGAACTAGGAAGGTCACTTACTCTATAGGACTATTGAGGTCATTTGTCTTACCTCTATAGGACTGGCCTGTTTAGAACTAGCAAGGTCACTTACCTCTATAGGATTAGCCTGTTTAGAACTAGCAAGGTCACTTACCCCTAAAGGACTAGCCTGTTTAGGACTAGCAAGGTCACTTACCTCTATAGGACTAGCTTGTTTAGGACTAGCAAGGTCACTTATCTCTATAGGACAAGCTTGTTGACGACTAGCAAGGTCACTAACTCTATAGGACTAGCTTGTTTAGGACTAGCAAGGTCACTTACCTCCATAGGACTAGCTTGTTTAGGACTAGCAAGGACACTTACCTCTATAGGACTAGTGAGGTCACTTACCTCTATAGGGCTAGCTTGTTTAGGACTAGCAAGGTCACTTACCTCTATAGGACTAGTGAGGTCACTTACCTCTATAGGACTTGCCTGTTCACGACTAGTGAGGTCACTTACCTCTATAGGACAAGCTTGTTTAGGATTAGTGAGGTCACTTACCTCTATAGGACAAGCTTGTTTAGGACTAGCGAGGTCACTTACCTCTATAGGACTTGCACGGCCATTGACGTAATGCTCTGAGCCGTGATGGTTGGCATGGCCCCAGTGGAAGTGGAATTGAGCCGTGGAGTAGGCGGAGGGTAGACCACCATTAGCCACAAAGAAAGGGCCGAAGATGTTCACCTGTACTGATTTAGTAAATAAAACATAAAGAGTTAAGTCTATAGGGAATCCCCTGGGATAGTGTTAGCTTTTACAATATAGCAAGGTAATTGAAGTTTTGTTAGGACCCCAGGGGTAAAACTCAAAAAGATATTTAATTGTATCAAAAAATAATTACATAGGTCCTGAGGTTTTTCTTAACATGTTTTACATGAAAACCAATTACCAATTTCCTTGGATTTCATTATCAGCATTCTTTACTCTTTTGGAGTCGTGAATAGCAAGATTCTGCTGTGATTGCATTGTGCCAGGGTTGTATAACACAACCAATGAGATGTTCGAGATGCTGTTATATTTGGTTCCTCATTTATACTCACCAGCATGACCATTGTTGAGGATGTTGAACTTTGACCCTGGTTTTGGTGGGTCGTGCCAAAATACAAAGTCATTTAATTCGGAGTTGTAGGAGGTTTTCTTGGTGATTATGTTGATAGGAGACTGGTGTTTCCCGCCGCAAGCTCCAGGGAATAGCGTGTCCCACTCGTGTGTACCTGAAGGTTACATAAGGTCATAAAGGTCATTTAGTACAGAAATATGTCATCTTCAAGGTAATGATGTCTCAATTCAAATTAAAATATTCAGAACTGACAGCAATCCATTACCTGTTTGAGACCCCCTTGAAACATCCATGATTATATGGTTGTCGTTTTGATATTCATTGTTCTAAATTTCCTTTAATAATTTTGAAATTAAGAAATACATTAGCTCGTGAAGTTGAATGGACTACAAGTTGTGATATACTGTAAGTTAATAGTATTGAAAATTTTGTTAATACTTTTTCGAGTTAAGCTGACTGGGTTTGTACTGCCTCAGTGTGTTCTGTCAATGTCAGACAAGACGAGTAATTAAGTGTTTAGGTAGACGGCCAGACAGTTTTACATCTGTACGTGATCTCCTATTTGGTGTTCGTGGACTTGAAATGCACTGTAAGGGGAGATAACCTGCGAATGTCTGCAGTTTTGTTTTTTCTGTCAATAAGCTAGAAATAAAGTCCTCAATCATAGTTTAACCAGACAGTATTTATTTTATTGATTAAATGTTTATTTCTGACAGTTGATGTCGTCTATTGCATTAGGTGTTATAGCAAACTGTTGTAATTGATTTATATTTTCTGTTTAATTGAAGGCAAATATTTACTGAGTTTTTAAAAATTCTGATTGATCAACAAGATTGAAAAAATTATGACAATTAACACATTGTTAATAGTAATAGGATAAACTGTTTATCATTTTATATCAAAACAAGCCGATTAAATGTGAAGTCCCCATGACCCAGAAATACATACTTGTGTTGTGTTATCAGGTTTGTTTAATTTGGCAGACACACTGGATCTTTGACCCCAGCACCATGACCTTTCAGGAATTTTCATGCTATGTCACAGTTTAATTGATGTACGAGAGTTCAATTTTAACATGCTGGCCGGGCCGGACTGGACATTTCTCCTTATTCGAACAAGTGACACACACACACGGAGGATAGATAATATTTAATCTTTTTGTAAAACTTTAGTTGTTTGTATGGATACATTTTGTACTTAAGATATATAACTTTTATTACTGAATTAACTAGATTTTCATCAGAAACAAAATCAAAAATCTGTGCATTAATCTAACAAGTAAATACATGTTTTTTAAATCATATCCAATGAAAATGTTGGAAAAGATGCAGATTACTTTTCAAGCTTAATAATTGGTGGGGAAAAATGGATGCAGAGTAATATAATAGTCCAAATGAAGTGATATATAAAATGGCAGTCTTTAGGTACCTTAGTTCTATACCATTTATACAGAATAATCCATGTATGGTAATTACTGGTATGTTAACATATATTGTAGACAACTTCATGTATGCGAACATCTTTATGTATGTGAACATCTTTTATGTATGTGAACATCTTTATGTATGTGAACTTTATGTATGTGAACATCTTTATGTATGCGAACATCTTTATGTATGCGAACATCTTTATGTATGTGAACATCTTTATGTATGCGAACATCTTTATGTATGTGAACATCTTTATGTATGTGAACATCTTTATAAGATAGAGAGGTCAGTGTTGATGACCTATTGTTTACATGCTTTGTCTGTGGGCCTGCTACAATTACACACTAAATTCCTTATCATGCTCTAAAACAAAAGCTGTAGGAAACAAAGGGGTGTAACATTAGTGTAACAACCTCTTATAGACCCCAGCTATATATAGCGATATAGCATGCATGCTGTCATACTAATTCACGGCTTGTCTCTTACTTTATCCATCAGGAAACTTTTGACAGATTAGCAATAATATCCCAAGCGTCTGACACCAATAGCGGTAATTAAAGTGTAATTTCGCTCATAAGGTGTGACTTCAGTGTAGATTTTACGGGGTCTCTTGGCATGTTCTTATAGAAAAAAAATGTTATACATTTATAGACATTGTAAATAATTTGTTAAAAAGAAATGTTATACATGTATAGATATTGTAAACAATTTGTTTATGGTAACTAAATAAAAGGACCCTTTAGACGTGTAAATATCTACAGGCATTTGAATAATGAGATGAAGATTAAAAAGACGATATGTACGGGTATAAAAAAGTGTCAACATCACAACTTTTGAAGTTTGTTTTTCAGTCATTTATGAGATCTAGTATTTTTATATCATCTGTATATGTCTCAGGGGTATCCATAAAACAGATGTGTTTGAAACCTGATCATAACAAAGTCTTGTAAGTCCATAGCTGAATTAATTTTTGCTGCGATGTACATTTCCAACAGTACCGAAGGCAAATCTGAACGCCTGAGATTTTTTCTTTATCTTTTTGATATTACGATACAGAGGCTTGCCACCTTGTTTCAGATTTGGCCCCACATTTTAAATATCCGTTATCAGTGTCTGAGTCACTATAAACAGGACACCCAAAGCTGTGTTGTGTCATGATATCTTCATATTTACGTTAGCATAACAATGAAAGTTGTCAAATGTCATTTTATAGTCAGATTTGATATTCGTTTTGTGAATCCAAATAGTTGCAGTGTAAGATTGTTTTGCAGTTGAAATGATTTTTGGGGGATAAGATTACAACCCGACTCCCTTTTTTCAGCTAGATGTGAGTGGTTCAAGAGTGGTGTCACTCTGAGGTATAACAACGTAGTTCAAAGTTTGAGTTCGCCATAGCTTTCAAACTACTGAGTGTCAAATCTGCTTTTTGTTAAGATTTATTTCCAAGCACGAAATCACTACTGATCATAACAAATCTCTTTCAATTCTGCTGTTTATTTTAGTGCCCTGGCCACATTTGTCTCATCCTTTGCTGTCACGGTCAATTTCAATTTGCTTTGGGTAGTAATTCATTGTCTTGACTCTGGATAAAACATGAATGCCAGCTGATCTGATTTCACCCCAAAGTGAAAATGCATAATTTATAAATCCAACACCAAATTGTAGAACAATTACATTAATCAGTACACGGTTCAAGTTTGCTTTACTTCCTTTCCATTACACCTGACTGTACATTTCGACCTCCTTTCCATTACACACATGACTGTACATTTCGACCTCCTTTCCATTATACACACCTGACTGTACATTTCGACTTCCTTTCCATTATACACCTGACTGTACATTTCGACCTCCTTTCCATTACACACCTGACTGTACATTTCGACCTCCTTTCCATCACACACCTGACTGTACATTTCGACCTCCTTTCCATTACACACCTGACTGTACATTTCAACCTTCTTTCCATTACACACATGACTGTACATTTCGACCTCCTTTCCATTACACACCTGACTGTACATTTCGACCTCCTTTCCATGTAATAGAAACAGTTCTGCACCACTGAACATGTGACTAATGTATGTAGGATTATATATGGAATTGGCATTAAATTAATGTACACGATATTTGTAATAACATCAACAAAATTGATGGATTGTGGCAAAGGATCATTGACAGTGACCCGGATCCACCCCCACAGACGTACCCTGTACACAAATAGTCACACCAAAATGTCATGTGGAAGGTCAACTCACTGAATTTGACTCATCACCAAAACCATTCTAGAGCACCAAAGAGTGGGCTAGCTGTGCAAAGTATGGGAACGGAGGATGATGTACAAAACTGTGTACTGTGGTGTACTAATAGGATCTTTCACCCCTTGTGGGTGAGATAGGAGAATCTCAACCCGAGGGGAAGATTCTTAAGTTGCCAAACACAAGGCTTTGCCGAGTGTTTAGCTACTTAAGAATCTTTTCCCAAGGGTGGAGATTCCCCTATCTCACCCACAAGGGGGTGAATGATTCTTTTTCTCTTTCCCTGTTCTCCCATTGTGTATCATATACACAATGTAACGTTAACGTTACATGCTAAATTCAGGGTTGAAGTGACGTTGATGGATTGTTGAAGTGACGTCATGCCATTGTTATGAATAGGGGAATCCTCCCGGTCTCAACCCTAGGGTGAGACAAGGAAATCTCACACCGGTAAAAGTGCGGATACACCTGTCCAGGGTAAGAGAAATATATATTCGCCCCCTGCCCCTGCTTGATATAGGTACAACCCAACCAAACTGTACTGTGGTTTACAGTTATATTCGTCCCCCCCATTTTATTTCTGTCAGTTATCTTTATACTGCATCATACCTCCGTAGGCAACACCTTCAGTTCTGGCTATATTGCAGAATGTTCACCAAATAATGGGGTTGTCTCCCTAGGTTCGAATATACCAAAGTTCTTAAAACTGGTAGTTGTTCTTCCCTGCTTAACGTTCAGCATTTAGGGAAATGGCAACAACTGGTTCACCCGTTGTCAGTATACTGTTTCTGGGTGAAATACTGTAATGGATGCCTTCGACATGGTAATTCATAGAGGTAGCACTCAGAAGAAGGCATTACATTCGCACAAGGGGCTAATATACCAATATACCGCCTCCTGGGTACGCACACATTATAGTTACACACATACAGACACTTCCTTAAATTACCTTGGCTTGTATTTAACCCTTTCACCCCTAGGTAACTTTAGTAGACTCTTCCATACATTTATCTGGATGAGTCCACTGTGGTCTACAGTGGTGAAAGGGTTGAAGACATTATGAACTCAATAAATCAAACCATCTTCATCAAGGTTCAGTTATAATTGCATATATCACTTTAAGGAGACCAAGTGACCGAATGAGTATCATAAAATTCAGATGAAAATACAGAAATAAAAACTTTGATTTGAGATTATTTTTACAATATGTTCATCAAAACCTGTTAATTACCTATTTTTGTGATATATTGACTGCATGAACAATTAAGAAAAACACCACAAGATATAATTAGCTTGTCAGTGTGACTTTGTGTGACCTTCATGTAAATTACACATCTATTTTTTGTGTTTTAGTGGGTGATTATTCACAAATGTTACATGTCAGAAATGTATACGATGGTATTTATTACATTGCATAGCTGTCTGTGTATATGATAGAATGATATGTGTTAATGACATACCACTACCGGACTCAATAGCAGCTATGGAAGTGTAACGGTATACCTACCCCTGTTGCCATGGTAATTCCAGTCAGAGGCACCTGAAACATTCAATAACATATTGGGGATAAGATTCATCAGTTCTGTATAAATAATAAAGGTTAAGTTTGTTTTGAATAAAAACATGAATTGAAAATTTGCTTTGCAAGCTTTCGAAAATGTCTGTTTCCTTTTTTAAGCAAAAAGTGTGCTTAAATAAAGAAGATCTTGTCATACTGTTTTAGAAAGCATGCAAAATAGGTTTTCACATAAATGAGTCACCCGTTGTATTCCATATAGTTGTTGCTTCATGGAGGTCAAATGTCAAGGTCAGAAAGGTAGACAAATTATAACAGAAATTTTATTGTTTCTTTTTTTTTCTTGGAGATATTTTCAGAATATTAGTTGTGTAAATGAATGTTGAAAAATTTAATTTAACCACAATAAAGGCAGCCAAAGCTTTGGTCATAACATCATTGTATATACAAACACAGCACTCACTACAGTAATCAAGGCTTGGTCATAACATCATTGTATATACAAACACAGCACTCACTACAGTAATCAAGGCTGTGTGTACATTTCTAGGATGTTGCTTCATTGAAAACAAAATCAAGTCTGAATCAAATTGAATTTGTTTATATCGATTGGAACTATGGTAATGTTATAACTGGTTTGTTGATTTGAGACAATAAATGTAAAATGAGGATTGTATTCAGAAATAATTAAGCCCTTCTCATATATATATATATGAAGGCTAAATTTCAAATGTACTGGCCCAATATAATCATAAGTTTTTTCACCCGATCTACCACATTAGTGAGACAAAATCATCAACGAGATCAAATGTGATGTATGTATGAGCATGCTCTCTATTTATTGAAAGGAAATTTATGACTGAGAGCAACAATAATATGCTTTCTCAAATGTTATTTGATAATGTTCAGGTACATTGTACTATACCTGTAAGTCTGATCTGATCCAAAGACTGACTTTACTACAAACTATTGAGATGACCATTGAAGAGACACCACACAGACTTAACATCTAATGAAGAAGGAATTAAATGTCAATCAGATTGTCATCAAAGTTATTCAAGGTGAATTGTTAACAGAAATTTGACAAAAAGAACACGAGTTAAAATTGGCTTTGCCCTTCATACTGTGAAGTTCTTAACTCTGTGTCCCCAGGCCATGGGACTTTCCGACCAATCTCGCTCTGTACATTGTCCAGTCTCTTGTATTATACAATATACATTCGTTAATACCACAGAAAAAAAAACACATTTTTTACCTGGTACTTGTGGCAATGACCTGACACGCCATTTGTTGGCGAAAGGTGACTCCTTCGAAAGTTATACATATCCTAGTTATAAAGGAGCTAGAAAGTGTAATTCTTTTTACATCTGTTATAAAACTAATTCTTAGATTTTTGCATTAATCATGTAAAGTAGATGAATCACGTACACTACCAAATATCTTAACTGTGTATCATAATTGATAAAAAATTACATGTTAATTTCAGTGATCTTTTGTACAATATTGCCAGTACATGTATACTACTTGTAGCTACAATAGACAAGGTAGTTCATTTGGTAATATATACATTTGCATTGCATTGTCACTTGATATCCTACTTGAAAGTGAGGGTTTCGTTGATGGGACTTTAAATGACATGCACCACATGATACAATTCGTAGCCAATAAGCAAGCAAAAATATGCTGTTCCAGTTATTGAACAAATTCATTCAGACTGTCGATAAGGTGAGAAGCTTAAATATAATTTATAAGTTCAAAAACGTGAAAGGTGGAGAAAACTCAAATATGAATATTGAACTGTTTTTGTATGGCATTTATGATCTGATTGAATGACACTCCTTTGCAAGCAAACAATTTGAAATGTGCTTGCATATGCCTTACGTTATGTTAATTAAATTAGATCATAAATGTCATACAAAAAACACTTCAATGCTTAGTTAATAAATCAAAATATTAAATGATGAATATTTAATTTTCAAAATTACTCTTAAGGTGTTTAAGAGTGACAGTACTATTATCAAAGGGACAGGGTTCAAACGCTTGTCTCAACACAGGTTATGTTGTATTTTTACGCTCAGAACACTTGTTTATATTGTTTGTTTATTTAACCTTGATTACTCTTTTATGAAAGTTTTGTAAGGTTGGATTTTCTTTTTAACAATGATTTTTCAGAGCAATTGATATATTTTAAGCCAATTGCTGAAAAAATAGTTCTGAAACACAGTTACAGTTTAGACAGTGGTACAGGAACCCTTGATGGTTTAAAATGTGTTACCACTGCAAAAAAAAAAGAAGAAAATGAACTGATTCAATCTACAGTTGCTAAATTAAGCCAGCCATTTGTATTTATTACTCGGAGAACCAGGATGTCTTCAGGACTGTATATATATTATTTAACTGGTATGTTGAAGTATATATAAATACAGGTCTGTAGGACATGTACATTTCAAAGATACCAATCTGATGTACATTGCCTAGCTGCAGTTCTGCGCATATCTTACCATAGCAGTCAGGAGTACATGTGGTTAAATGAACTAATTTGGTAGTAGAATGTGTGATGGATGTTTTACCTGTGCACCTACCTGTCACATATCTTCTGTCTTACCTGTAATCACTCTGTATGCACACATGTCATACAAATATTTAACTGGATGTTAATTAACTGTCGATTTTATATTAACAGTTTAAGTTTAGAGCTGAATATCATTGTTAAATTTTTTGACATTGTGAAAGATTTTTTTTTTTATAAAGATTGTGGCATAGTTGCGCTTTGTAGCGGTGTATTCTTATGTGTTACTCATTTGGGTATGCACAAAAAAATTGGTCATAAATCGGCCAGAAGATGTTTATATGTTTACCATTGTCATTAAGTCATAATTTCACTTTTATGACCTTGATAACCTGGTTTATTGATGTCACCAGCTGCTAAGAGCCTTGTACATTTTGTATGTTATACCTAGGTTAAAAACTGTTTTATGATAGATTTGTACGTAGATTTAAATAAATAGAGTAACTATATATATATTTACACATTTAAAAAGGAGAAATTGTTATACCTAAATATTAGTCAAAAAGGTTTTTCGCAATTTGGGTTTTAAGGGAATATCTGATAAAAATATTTAATATAAATACCTCTGTGATTAATTACCTCTTAGAATAATGTGTACTAGTCTCGTTCCTCAGTTCAAACTTACAAGTTAATATCACATGAAGGAAACAACTTTATTAAGTGTTTTTATAAGGTTAAATGTCAGGAAACATTTGTTCACACAGAGAAATCTTAATTGATATGGGGAAAAATCCTCTGTCTGTTGTTTTAAATTCAAGAAATGTTAAGCAAATTGAATACAAATTAAGTGAACATTTAGAAAAAAGCATAAAAAAAATTGCTTTAAACTAAAAAAAGCAACTGCATTTTTCAATATTTTAAAGTAGTGTTATTTTATTACAGAGCTGGTTGTCAAAGGATTGTGAAATCCAAATATATCCGGGAGAAATCTTTGCATCTATTGCGTATAACATACACGTATGAAAAAAAATCAGAAGTAGAAAATAATTGTCTATATAATTCTCTCTTGTTTAGTCTTGTAAAATTTTATTAAAAACAGTTTTGTTTGTTAAAACTTTTCTTTTAGACAAAAGTTTCATTTAGAAATTTCTAAACTTCGATATACTGTGAAGTTACAGATATTAAGTTATTTTTTCTCCCAGATAAGACAAAGGTGACAGGTAAAGAATGTATTTGTCCTAGCGGTGACAGCTACACAAAACCAAGGGCATAGGGACAATTAGGATAACTAAATATATGAAAAATGAAAATAATTCATCTATACAAATAAACAAAATACAGATAGATCATCAATGGAGAAAATGTTGGAAGTTTTCAGTGAAAGGTGAACTTACCTGTACAGGTGACTAGACTAGCTAACAAGGTGCACACTAATGTCAAAGTAAAGCCCAACATATTTCGGCAGTCAGCTGTAAGTGTATGTCCTTGTGGTTGTCTCTCCACCTAACCATGTGATCACACGCCGACTCTGTGGGGGGGTTATACTTACCTTCACACTATACAACTTTCCTACACCCGTCCGGTCCCCAGATTTTAACTCTGTTACAGTGACTCTCGAGGGGTGTTATCCTGTTCTATTATAGTGATAATCTGTGGTGTTACCCTGATGTATATAAGTTATATATGATGTTTGTCAATTAAAGTATAATTATAAGTCTGGTGTTACCTTGTTTGATTTCCAGGTGATACTCTGCTTCGATATATTGTTTTCTTATAAAGTTACAGTCTAAGGTGTTGTTCTGTTTTCAGGTGTTATCCAGTTTTGAAGTGCTACGTATACCCTATTTGAGGTTTGAAGCAGTTTTTATGTGTTCCCCAGTGTGTTGAGGTGTTACCCACTTTTTACTTTTTAGGTGTTGCCCAGTGTTGAGGTATTTTTAATTACCCAATTTTGAGGTGCTACCCACTTTGTTGTGGTGCTACTTATATACCCTAGTCCTATTTTGAGTTGCTACCCAGTTATGTGACATTACCAATTTTTGTTTAAATATTTTAATTACCCTGTTTTTAGGAATCCCAGTTTTGAAGTGCTACCCTAGTCTAGTTATGAGGTGCTACCCATTTTTGAGATTCTACCCAGTTTTGAGGTGCTACCCAGTTTCGAGATGCTACCCTGTTTTGATATGCTTATACCCTGTTTTGAGATGCTTATACCCTGTTTTGAGATGCTTATACCCTGTTTTGAGATGCCAGTTTTGAGGTGCTATACGTACCCTAGTCTTTTTTTGAGGTGTAACTTGTGGGTTGGAGGCTGGTGTGTTGGTGACAAGCTGAAGTGTTAGGTGAGGCTATGGTAACTACTGTTGGGGTGTTGGTGTCGGGCAGGAGTGTTTGTCCCCCCCATAACAAATGATTATAGTTGACTGTCCAACATTGGACCCAACCCTTCATAGCTCAGGTTAAGATTCAGTCTTGGGGTGGGGATCGTTTTACCTTGGAGTGCTTTATTGCCATCGCTGCTAGCCCTGCTTTTGTTATTTATCTATTTTTTTCCTTCTTGCTCTGTAGAATGTTACAGTGGACATGATAAGTGTCTGCCTTTATTTCCATCAGGCTTTCTGTCAGTATAATATCTTTGTTCGACATTTAGCGCCAGATGTCCATTACTGTCCTCAGAATTCCTCGGTCGACATACAGAATGTGTACATTTTGAGAAGTAACAACAAATTTATGTCAAATGTAGGTCACTGTGACCATGCAATATTTCCACTTTACTGAGTTCAGTGCTGACGTTTCATTTTACTTTATTTCTTTGATTATAGACCACTAAAGAGGGGCATATTTATCTTTTAAAAAGCTATTTTTTGTTCAATTTATAAACTAACTGGTTGAGATATGTTTTCATTTGTGCCAGAAAAACATGAAAGTTAAAAAAAAAAATCTGAGCAACTTTTTTAGGGGCGAATCTGTTTTTCAGTCAAGGTGATGTCTTCCACAGATGGTCTTTACCCAGTATATTTCATTAAAATCAGAAATGTTGAATCAATCAAAAAATGCAGAATTATTTTCATTTAAAATAATCTTTTATAATGTTTTGTGATAAGTGTATGTACATTTCCTTTGATAAATAGTGGATAGATTGTGAGATATTTTTATGAAATTTAATAATAATTCTTATTTTTATATTTATATATATATTATTCTTCAGTTCGTCTGAAGAAGCCCAAAAAGGCAGAAAGTCCTAGTGGTCGATCTTGGATACTTATTATTTTGTTTACTATATATACAAACAACTTTAATTTATAACTTATCAAATGGGACATTATAGTTTTGTAACAAGTATTAGCTGTTTGACTTTGAGAGAAAACTGCTACATGTGTATACTAATCCCAGGAGTTGTCACCTTCTGTCTGGCCTGAGTGCTCACAGACATAGCCTGTATATAGTAACCTGTGATTTCATTAATTTGGAGAATAATTAATACCACTTTACCTATTTGATGGTATGTGGTTCTACTGGTAAAAAAAAACACTTCAAAAGGGAAGACAGCAGCCAAGATAAATGGTACTGTGTTTTGTGTGAAAACAAACCTCTTAGAGAGTTTTATTGTCGCACTGAATTGCCTAATAGGGTGTAATTAAATAATTCAAGACATGCTTATTTAACATTGGGTAATCTTACAACACCCTCTCAAACCTAATTGTCACAGACAATCTGAGCCCCAGGCAATAACTTAACTCTATGCAACAGGTTTTTGTGAATTGAAAAGGCCTCAGAAGAAAACAAGAATATTTATTTTGTCCATGAATGAATCAGTGGTCAACGTTACTTAACTACTGAACAGATGTATACACTTAATGAATTGTATTTGTAGAGAGAGGATTACATATAGCTGGCATGTTAATGTGTTTCTAGTAACATAACCTGAATATAAGTAGCTATACTTCAGAAGGATACAAAAAAGTACTAGTAAATGCGGATCTGTATCAATGAGTCAACCACACAGATCTGTGTCATTGAGTCTACCACACAGATCTGTGTCAATTAGTCTACCAGACAGGTCTGTGTCACTGAGTCAACCACACAGATCTGTGACCCTGAGTCAACCACGAAGATCTGTGTCATTGAGTCAACCACACAGGTCTGTGTCACTGAGTCCACCACACAGATCTGTGTCACTGAGTCAGGTCTGTCACACACAGGTCTGTGACATTTAGTCTACCACACAGGTCTGTGTCAATGAGTCTCCCACACAGGTCTGTGTCAATGAGTCTACCACACAGATCTGTGGCAATGAGTCAACCACACAGGTCTGTGTCACTGAGTCTACCACACAGATCTGTGTCCCTGAGTCAGGCCTGTCACACACAGGTCTGTGTCATTTAGTCTACTCCACAGGTCTGTGTCAATGAGTCTACCACACAGGCCTGTGTCAATGAGTCTACCACACAGATCTGTGTCACTGAGTCATGCAACCACCCAGATCTGTGTCACTGAGTCAACCACACAGATCTGTGTCACTGAGTCAACCACGCAGATCTGTGTCATTGAGTCAACCACACAGGTCTGTGTCACTGAGTCCACCACACAGATCTGTGTCACTGAGTCAGGTCTGTCACACACAGGTCTGTGGCATTTAGTCTACCACACAGGTCTGTGTCAATGAGTCTCCCACACAGGTCTGTGTCAATGAGTCTACCACACAGGCCTGTGTCAATGAGTCTACCACACAGATCTGTCATTTAGTCTACCACACAGGTCTGTGTCAATGAGTCTACAACACAGGTCTGTGTCATTTAGTCTCCCACACAGGCCTGTGTCAATGAGTCTACCACACAGATCTGTCATTTAGTCTACCACACAGGTCTGTGTCAATGAGTCTACCACACAGGTCTGTGTCATTTAGTCTCCCACACAGGCCTGTGTCAATGAGTCTACCACACAGATCTGTGTCAATGAGTCAACCACACAGGTCTGTGTCACTGAGTCTACCACACAGATCTGTGTCACTGAGTCAGGTCTGTCACACACAGGTCTGTGTCATTTAGTCTACCACACAGATCTGTGTCAATGAGTCAACCACACAGGTCTGTGTCACTGAGTCAACCACACAGGTCTGTGTCAATGAGTCTACCACACAGATCTGTCATTTAGTCTACCACACAGGTCTGTGTCAATGAGTCTACCACACAGATCTGGCATTTAGTCTACCACACAGATCTGTGTCAATGAGACTACCACACAGATCTGTCATTTAGTCTACCACACAGATCTTTGTCAATGAGTCTACCACACAGGTCTGTGTCACTGAGTCAACCACACAGGTCTGTGTCAATGAGTCTACCACACAGATCTGTGTCAATGAGTCTACCACACAGATCTGTCATTTAGTCTACCACACAGATCTGTGTCAATGAGTCTACCACACAGGTCTGTGTCACTGAGTCAACCACACAGGTCTGTGTCACTGAGTCTACCACACAGGTCTGTGTCAATGAGTCTTCCACACAGATGTGTATGAATGAGTTTAGTGGACAAGCTCTATACCATTCTGATTTGATATACTGCTTCCCGTAGTCTAGCTACGATTACTTTTAAATGTACAGGTATAACGGATTAAGATGTCGACAGAATCAGTGAGGAATAAATTATACGGATATGCAAACACGTCAGACAGGTGAATGGCAGTGCTGATCTGCTGAAGGATTTATTAATCACACTTTCTCTCAAGTGTTGTCAAAAAGATGGCTGGTGAAAACGAAGTATATCAGTTTACATTGAACTTCACTAAAGCCCCAGTACAGAATCTATAGGTTGATCAAAGAACTGATTCATTACTCAAACAGCATTGATACAAACCTTTCAAAGAAGTTTAATGTAATAGGAAAAGTAAATGATCAGTACAATCTAATGTCCCAGATTCTGACAGAACCTTAGGTGTTATAGCTATGTGTGGCAGGGTCCTAGCAGCGGGATCTATTTAAGGATACCCGCACCACTGTTAAAAACTGTAACTAATTAGTAATGGAAACTGCAGACTTTTCCGGCATGACTTTAGCTTTAATAAACCATTTCTGGAAAGTAAAACATTCCTTGCAGGACTTTTATGAACACAATACATCTACAGCACACACACTGGGAGATATTAGCCAGGTGGCATAGGACTAGTAGTTTAAGCACCTGATAAGGCAGCTCCTGCGAATTCCTGAAATGGTATTATTAATGTATATGCTAATTGTATTGATTGTATAACTTGTATATATGTACCGTAAAGTGTTTTAGAGTGGCTTATTCTCGCTAAGATAGGGCGCTATATCAAATGTTGTACTGTTGTGTATATTGTATTGTTTGAAAATAAAATAGAGTTGAAATCAACAAAATAAACAACAACAGCGTTCTGAGTGCCTTAACGGGAGGTTAAAGTATATACAAACAAACCAGAGTGCAGTGGGACAGGGATCCTTAAGGAAAAACCAAATAGTTAACACAATTCAATAAAGACATAGGAGAGACAGGAAATGTTCCCCAGTTATTTAACATAAATGATGCTTATAAGTCACAAACAGATAAATTAGGCATCATTAATCAGTAGAGTAGACAGTATTTATAGGCCTGGTGAGGGAGGACGTCATCTCTGACAACTTGTCTACATAGCAGGACTGCTAGGCCTGGCAACATATAGTATTTAAACCTCCTGTTTGTATGTTACAGTACCCTACAGGTAACTTAAAGGTGAAACTGAGGTCACATATTTAGTTATCTAGAGGTCATACATTATCCTGGATGATAATGAGCCCAGAGTCGGTATAGATCTTGGGTATACTGTAGTACTTTCGTACATGATGCTATCAAGACAATTATTAAGAATATTTTAATTATCAAAATTCTATACAGAGAATATAGGTAAAATGAATTTAATATAAATGAAATATTATTACGTTGTACAAGATACCAGAGGACATTACCTTATCAGTACATTAATTAACATATGATTAATAAACTGACACTTAATTAAATGTCAAAATTTCTCTGACTCATGAAAGAAGAGATTGCCATTTTCGAAACAAATCCATAGTACAAATATTTTTAAGCTAATAATAATTAGTTTTACTTGAAAAAAATTGGAACTCATTTAAAAAATAAAAAATGTTTAATATATTATTCAATATGTAATTTTCTTCTTTTGAACATGCTGTATCTTCTCCTCATTTTGATTACATACAGCGCACAACCTTTGACCCCTAAAATAAAGGGGCCTGCATCATATCCCTCGGGGCGTGATGTTAAATGTATATGCACATGCAGGTCATTAAATATAGCTATTTTACACTAACTGTTAAAGGTTTTAAATGACAAATTAAACTAAAATTGAAAGCTATAAACCTGATTCTCATAATACAGGTAACATCTAGGGGATGTTTCAAAGGAAGTTTTAAACTCTCGGAGAAATACATAAAGCATGTATAATGTGTATACTTTGATGTAAACTGCTTTTCAGCAGGTAACGTTTGTAATTATGAAACATAACATTATGTCCAATTAAACTGAACTCTTTTATCCGATGAACCATTACAAACTAGCTTTCTGACGTTATAACTACAAAGAGATTGTTGTAGCGTGATTGTGATACACAAGTACACATACTGATTAAGTATAAAAGAGGTTCAACTTATATTGCATAATATATACCTGTTTTACGCTTCACACAGTTTTCACAGTACAAATGTACGTATGCCATATATTTCAATGAGTCCACGGATTCCTATACATCCGATACAAATATCTTACATGTTTAAGACATATATGTGCAGGTTTGAATTTGTGATGATCGATTGGATTATATTCCTGTACCTCACAAATATCATACTGTAGTGTTGTTTATTACAATATTTTCAATCTGGCTACTGTTTCACAGTTTTTTCTATCAAAACTAGTTTGCTTGGATTAAATTTTGTGAAACATTAATAATTGCCTGATTAAAAACTTGCACTCACAAGAGTACTTCCGTATTTGGATGATAAGACTTACCTTTCAGGTGTTTTGCCAAAATATAGTGAAATACGATATTTCATTAATTTTTTGATAACTCCATTATTTGGCAGTAGAATGCGGTACCCAGATCTTGTCTTTTATTTCTGTAAATTCATAGAATTACTATTCGCTGGATATTTTATTTCTCACTATAATCTTTGTTGACTCCAAATACATGTATAAGCAAAATTAAATCCCCCATGAAAACTTACTACCTATACAGTTGTTCAATAGATCTGAAACTCAGTGTCAAATGTAATATATTCTAGATTGAGTATCATCATATACTTGTCCATATACCTAATCCTTTTTTCATTTGGAAAAAAAATCCCCACCTTCCTATGCTATGAGGCTTAGAGTATACTTCTAGTTGAGTGAGTCTGCCCTTGTAATTGAATACCATCCCCTTTAGGTATTATATGACAATGAATGTCCATCTTTCATTTTGAATGCTAATGAGTAGACTAAGTTATATACTATAGTTGGTACATTTTGATAGACAGCAGACACGTAAAATAGACACCAAACACCTTGTGTAGTATATATTGTCAGTGTGACAGATATGTCTGACAACCGACCTGTCAAGGTCAAGTCAATTTTACTGTGTCATATCAAGATTTTTTTTTATTATATAATACAGATATAAAAAAAAAAATACAAATATAGTAAATGATATCTTGAAGTCAAATATTCAAATTTCGTAATGAGAAATTGAATTTCGGTAGCAAGCAGTGAAACACCTCTTCGTAACTACGTCGTAAAACGTACCACTGATATAAGTTAGTACGGTAAAATTACAGTGTACATGTATATACATAATTAAACAAGGCCTTATATACACTTCTCCTTGATGTGCCTTTCAGTTGTACCAGATTACACAAAACAATATATTACAAGCTTCAGAGACCTTTGCTGTGCTTTTTATGTCTGCACGCCATCCTTCATGTAGATACTTCGTAAAATGTATGAATATAAATAATGCACATAAGATTAATGCTAAGTTAGCCCTGCAGTAAAGGTTTAACGTAAAATCTCATTAACAGGTGAATTAAATTACCGGTGGGAATACTTTATGAGTAAGGAGATAACAGTCAGATTAAAGCATTACATTATTGTCGTACCGTTACACCGTATAGCTCCTGGTATTGTTTTTCTATCATTTAAGACATTTGTTGACGATCTTTTCTGTTATATCAGTAGGTTAAGATATTATGTTTTGTTGGTATGCTGTCATCATGAATTCCTGGATACAAATAAACCTTCTGATAAAACTATTTTCATCAGGATTACAGAGAATGCATGAATATATATATTTCTATCATTTCCCTGTGTGTAAGATTAATAGAATCCCTTACCCCCTTGGGGGTGTGATAGGGGAATTCATCTCAACCCAAAGGGGAAGATTCTTATGTTGCCAAACACAAGGATTTGCCGAGGTTTTCTCGAATTTTCTCTTTTCCTGTTCTCCCAATGTGTATCATATACACAATGTAAAGATAATGTTACATGCCAAATTCAGGGTTGACCTGACGTTGATGAATTGTTGACGTGACGTCATTGTTTTGTTAAAGTGACGTCATACCATTGTTATGAATAGGGGAATTCCCCGTCTTAACCCTAGGGTGAGACAAGGAATTCTCACACCGGTAAAAATGCGGATACATGCACCTATCCAGGGAAAGAGAAAAAGCTGTCCAGGATAAAAAAGGGGTGTAGGAAATTTCTATCTTACACCCCATTTCACGTGACGTGACGTCACAATGGCTCAACAATGAGGTGACGTCACCAATTTGGAACTCTCCGATGCCGCAATGCGGAAAAGGCGACTTGATGAAATTAAAACCTTTACTTTATATTTACCGTACACATTAGAAAGATGTGATTGATTTTTCTGCGCAAACACTGTTTGCAAATATGGGATATGCTTAATATGGCTGGCTGATTCGTTTACGTCTAAAAAGCTCGTGGGGAAAATTGATATTTTCAAAATGGTATGTGGCTAGTACAAACACATTTTAATGGTTTCTGGGCTTATTGAGACTGGTGGTTATTCCTCGGCAAAGCCTCAGGTTTTACCAAATTTAAAAAAAAACTCGGGTGGAATGTCCCAAATTCTACACCCCTGGGCATGAAAGAGTCTTATAATACCTACTAGCCACATTTATAGTAAGACTATACCACGTACCATGTTTTATAGTAATGTTGCAGACTGGGTCGATTGTAGGCGACCAGGTAGCTAGATTGGTAGAGTGTCTGTCTAGATTTCGGAGGGTCCCACTTCGAATCCCGGTCTGCCCGTTACATTTTCTCTTTCTCCTGTTACAAAAATGGCAAGCTTGCCAACCCTTGTTTCAAGCATTGGGAGTACGCTTAGCAAGGGGATACCCGAACCTGAGTTGTAAATAGTTGTCTTCTGGGGTGAAAACTTGGACTGGGTGGATCGTTGACGACCAGATAGCTCAATTGGTAGAGTATCGAGTTTGGAGGGTCCCTGGTTCGAACCTCGGTCTGGCTGTTACATTTTCACTTTCTCCTGTTACAGTCATAACAGTCAAGGGTTGTTTTCAGGGTATTGTAACAGAAATGGATAAAAACTTTTTATCAGATTGCACATTTTAGATATTTCAGTACATCAAATTCACCTGTAATTTAGTCATATCCACAGTTATCAGTAATGCACATACAACACACTAGCCACCGTAGCCATGGTTGATATAAGGCTGTTGTTCTGTACTTACAGATGACAAGGAGACGTACGAGGCCTTTACGGCACACTTTGACGAGCAGCTGTCTCTGTACCACTCTATCGTGGCCATCAACCTTGCGGAATTGTGTGGCAAAGAAAAGGCCATTAGTGATGCCTTCCTCCAACACCTCCTCAAATATAACTCCCCCGACATCACCTACGTCATGTTTGACTTCCACGAATACTGGTAAGTATCGCATTAAGTTTGCCGACATTACCTAGGTCATGTTTTTAGCTCACCTGGCCCCTTTGGGCCAAGTGAACTTATGGCATGGTGCGGCATTCGGCGTCCGTCCGGCGTCAACATTTTACTATAAACAACTGAATAACCAAAAGGCCGAGGCTGATGATATTTTGCCAGTAGCATAATGGGATGAAGGGCTACCAAGTTGTTCAAATGAATGACCTTGACCCACTTTCAAGGTCACAGGGGTCAAATATCTTAAAATCTTCGATCGACTTCTTCTTAATAACCAAAAGGCCTAGGGTACTGATATTTGCCTGTAGCATGCTGGGATGAAGGGCTACCGAGTTTGTTCAAATGAATGACCTTGACCCACTTTCAAGGTCACAGGGGTCAAATATCTTAAAATCTTCGATCGACTTCTTCTTAATAACCAAAAGGCCAAGGGTACTGATATTTGCCTGTAGCATGCTGGGTTGAAGGGCTACCAAGTTTGTTCAAATGAATGACCTTGACCAACTTTCAACCAAATGTCCTTGTTTGACATTCAAGGTCACAGGCGTCATATGTTTAAATCTTTTAATAGGTTCTTATGAATCAAACACTGATATTCTGCCTGTAGCTGTATTTCCGTCCACTTTTAAGATTACAAGTGTGAAGATTTATATCAGGTGAGCAATGCAGCTCCATTGTGCCTCTTGTTTACTTCAAGATTAGTACTCTATATTGCCTCATCTACAACTGTGATATCATATACATTATGTTTGACTTCCACATGTATTGGTAGGTATCTTAACTACAACTCCCCAAAAATCCTCAATGTCCTGTTTGACTTTCTTCAGAACTGGTATATTACATTCTTACCCTCAATTCCCCTGACATCATGAATGCGTTTTAGCTCACCTGGCCCAAAGGGCCAAGTGAGCTGATGCCGTACTGCGTCGTCCGTCCATCAACTTTTCCTTTAGAACAACTTCTAAAGAAGAACTGGAGGACCTAGGGTCACGACATTTGACCAGTAGGTAGATGGGATGCAGTGCTATACAGTTTCCTTATTAAAATGACCTTGACAAGTTTGTTCAAGGTCACAGTGGTCAAACATTATACTTTGATATGTTATGTAGGGTTATGTTATGTAGACTAGCGGTGCAAATGTTGTTCTTCATTATGGTAATGAGGACAAAGTTCAACATTGAAGTGCTAGCCGGGGTCAAAAGTCAATATAGGTAAAAAGCTTTAACAATCTTCTTCTCAAGTTCAGATTAGGCCCAGGGTCATGATATTTGGCCAGTAGGTACCTTGGATGGAGTGCTATACATTTTCCTCATTAAAATTACCTTGACCTAATTTCAAGGTCACATGGGTCAAATATGTTAGAAACTTCAAACAACAATATCCATTTGGACTAGAGTCATAATATTGGAGTATGTTATGTAAACCAGCTGTGTGAATCTTTTTCTTTATTACAGTAATGAGGTAAATGGTTGAATTTAAGTTCTAGTCGGGGGTTAAAGGTCAACACGTGTGAAAAGCTTTAACAATCTTCTTCTCAGGTTCGATAAGGCCCAGAGTCATAACATTTGACCAGAAGGTATCTGAGACAGAATGCTGTAAAGCTTCCTCAAATAAATGAACTTGACCTAATTTCAAGGTCACAGGGATCAAATATGGTAAACCTTTAAACAACTGTTTCTGAATAACCAGGAGGCCTAGTCTAAGTTATGTACACTTAAACTGATACTATCAGGAAGTATATGAACCGTTTTTATCAAATACTTTACCGGCTCAGCCAACTGATGATGTTAAACACTCTGATATTATGTAAAAGTTATTTGTTGCTATAATCACATAATATTTACAAATACTCCTTTTGCTGTTAGTGACTCGACATCACAAGAATTGCAATATTATATTATAATAAAAAAACAGCCACTATCTATACTTTGTTTAATTGTGTCAGAATAAATAGTAACAATTTGTCTGTCTTTGCATTTTAATATCTTTTACTTTAGATTGTTATCTTGATTAAATTGTGTTTTTGCAGTCGTGGTATGAAATTTGAAAATGTTTCTATCTTGACTGACGGCATCAATGACATCATAAAGAAGATGCGGTACTGCTGGTGAGTATGAGTCAAAGAATGTATAGTCAAACCTGCTTATGTGACCACCTCCATAAAAAGACCACCTGTGTTAAGAGACCATTGCTAATGTTCCTAAATGTTTGAATTTTATTGTTATTTGAACCTGTATTAATTAAGGGACCATTCACATTAAGAGACACCTAATTGTTCAAAGACTACTTGCACTGTAATGATCCTGCATGAATATATTGAATACTAAAATGTATTAAAAGACAACCTGTGTTAAAAGACTATTTCATTGGTCCTAAATGTATTGATTTACTGGTGACTTAAACCTATACTAAGAGACCACCTGTATTAACAGACCACCTAATTGTTAAAAGACTACTGGTCATGAATATATCGACTTCTTGTGACCCAAACCTGCATTAAGAGACCACCTGCATTAAGAGACCACCTGCATTAAGAGACCACCTGAATTAAGAGACCACCTGAATTAAGAGACCACCTATGTTAAACGGCCACTTTTAATGTTCCTGAATGTATTGATTTCCTTGTGATCTGAACTTCTATTAAGAGACCACTTGCATTAGAGGCCACTTTTTGGCTCTCCCTGAAGGATGACCTTATGGTACAAGTTTGACTATATCCTTACATAACTGACTACAGATTGTAATCCTTTATGTGTAGTTTTGTGTTGCACCTGTTGAAGTATCTACCAATGGCAATGCACATATAAACGTGAATGTGAAGTTTTTATATATAATTAACACTATTGGAGCATCTTTATTTAGGCTGTTGAGAATTTTCTCGAAATCGGGAAAAAATGTGATGAATCTGTTTCTTGTTTGCCCAGGGTTGACAGGAACGGAATGATTTGTGAACAGCAGGGTGTGTTTCGGGAGAATTGTGTCGATTGTCTAGACCGGACCAACGTTGTACAAACAGCTATCGCCAGAATTGTCATGGAAACACAGGTAAAGTGGCTGTGTGTCAAAGGAGGAGGTGATCGGTCACTATATACACAAAGTAGATGTTACATCAGATCTGGTTGTAAAGCATTCTGTCACTGTTCAATAACTCTTTTATCTATTTAAGAAATAAGTTACACTTTGTTATGTAATAGTAGCTGGTTACCAGGCCCCTAGGATTTTTTCCACATGCATCAAATACCTAGGAGGTTGGTACAGACAGAAATGATGTAATGTTTTTAAATTCAAATGAGGTATAAATCAAACTGTTCATGTTTTTGAAAATCGATTCAGTATATCATTTGTGTACTCTATGTATAGTTATTGAGTTTGTACAAACAAAATGTATATATGTAAAAAACGAATATGAGTATATTGAAGTTTGGTTGTTATGTTACAGTGTAGAAAGCTAGGTATTCTGGCTCCGGAGGAGAACCTGCCTCAAAGTTGTAAACTCAAATTCCAACAGCTCTGGGCCAACAATGGAGATGTTATTAGTCGACAGTACGCTGGGACAGCAGCACTTAAGGTAAATCAGACAGTGCATGGTGTCACGGTAATTTACACTCTACACACTTTACCATGGTAACCTTCTATAGACTTTACCATGGTTACCTTCTACAGACTTTACCATGGTTACCTTCTACATACTTTACCATGGTTACCTTCTACAGACTTTACCATGGTTATCTTCTACATACTATACCATGGTTACCTTCTACATACTTTACCATGGTTACCTTCTACATACTTTACCATGATTACCTTCTACAGACTTTACCATGGTTACCTTCTACAGACTGTACAATGGTTACCTTCTACAGACTTTACCAATGTTACCTTCTACACACTTTACCTTGGTTACCTTCTATAGACTTTATCATGGCAACCTTCTACAGACTTTACCATGGTAGCATTCTACAGACTTTACCATGGTAACCTTCTATAGACTTTACCATGGTTACATTCTATAGACTTTACCATATGGTTACATTCTACAGAATTTATCATGGTTACCTTCTATAGACTTTACCATGGTTACCTTCTATAGACGTTACCATGGTTACATTCTATAGACTTTATCATGGTTACATTCTATAGACTTTATCATGGTTACATTCTATAGACTTTATCATGGTTACATTCTATAGACTTTATCATGGTTACATTCTATAGACTTTACCATGGTTACAATCTATAGACGTTACCATGGTTACCTTCTACACACTTTACCATGGTTACCTTCTATAGGCTTTACCATGGCTACCTTCTATAGACATTACCATGGTTACCTTCTACAGAATGATTACCTTCTACAGACTTTACCATGTTTACCTTCTATAGACTTTACCATGGTTTCCTTCTATAGACTTTACCATGGTTTCCTTCTATAGACTTTACCATGGTAACATTCTATAGACTTTACCATATGGTTACATTCTACAGAATTTATCATGGTTACCTTCTATAGACTTTACCATGGTTACATTCTACAGACTTAACCATGGTTACCTTCTACAGACTCTACAATGGTTCCCTTCTATAGACTTTACCAGGGTTACATTCTATAGACATTACCATGGTTACCTTCTACAGAATGATTACCTTCTACAGACTTTACCATGTTTACCTTCTATAGACTTTACCATGGTTACCTTTTATAGACTTTACCATGGTTACCTTTTATAGACTTTACCATGGTTACCTTCTAGAGACTTCACCATGGTTACCTTCTACGGGCTTTACCATGTTTACCTTCTACAGACTTAACCATGGTTACCTTCTACAGACTATAAAATGGTTACCTTCTACAGACTTAACCATGGTTACCTTCCACAGACTTTACCATGGTTACCTTCTAAAGACTTTACCATGGTAGCATTCTACAGACTTTACCATGGTACCCTTCTATAGACTTTACCATGGTAACCTTCTATAGACTTTACCATGGTTACAATCTATAGACTTTACCATGGTTACCTTCTATAGACGTTACCATGGTTACCTTCTACACACTTTACCATGGTTACCTTCTATAAACTTTACCATGGTTACCTTCTACAAACTGTACAATGGTTCCCTTCTATTGACTTTACCATGGTTGCCTTCTATAGACTTTACCATGGTTACCTTCTATAGGCTTTACCATGGCTACCTTCTATAGACATTACCATGGTTGCCTTCTACAGACTGTACAATGGTGACCTTCTACAGACTTTACCATGGTAACCTTCTACAGACTGTACAATGGGTCCCTTCTATAGACTTTACCATGGTTTCCTTCTATAGACTTTACCATGGTTTCCTTCTATAGACTTTACCATGGTAACATTCTATAGACGTTACCATGGTTACATTCTATAGACTTTACCATGGTTACCTTCTACAGACTTTACCATGGTTACCTTCTATAGACTTCACCATGGTTACCTTCTACGGACTTTACCATGTTTACCTTCTACAGACTTAGCCATGGTTACCTTCTACAGACTTTACCATGGTTACCTTCTACAGACTTTACCATGGTTACCTTATATAGACTTTACCATGGTTACCTTCTACAGACTGTACAATGGTTACCTTCTATAGACTTAAGCATGGTTACCTTCTACAGACTTTACAATGGTTACCTTCTACAGACTTTGCCATGGTTACCTTCCACAGTCTGTACAATGGTTACCTTCTATAGACTTTACCATGGTAACCTTCTATAGACTTTACCATGGTAACCTTCTACAGACTGTACAATGGTTACCTTCTATAGACTTTACCATGGTTACCTTCTACAGACTTTACAATGGTTACCTTCTACAGACTTTACCATGGTTACCTTCTACAGTCTGTACAATGGTTATTTTTTACAGAATGAGTTGGTTTCTTTCTATAGACTGTGACATGATTATCCATAGACTTTTGACTTAACCATGTATGGTTACTGTTTTACAGTAGATTCAGGAACTATCAGACTATTAACTGCTAGCAAGCACAAGATATAATTAAATGTTGATTTATAACTTTATGAATAAACCTATAGGTATATAATATTAAGACAAAGAAATAAGCGGTAGTCAGAAACCTTTTTGTGCGGTTATATATTCAATGACTTCAATCCTGGTGTTATTTTCGGCTGAAGATACGTACATGTGGTGTATATGACAGTGTAAACCTTCTTCGTACCCAATAAGATATGTAAATATGATTTGTATAGCTATGGGGGCAAAAAGGTATCAATAAACACGACACTCAGGATCAACCATCTACAGAAAGGTTATCAAACAGGACATAAAAACCACGGTATATTACAGATTTTACCTGTAGGAAATTCTATACACATATATAGATCTACTGACGCACAAAAAACTCACATACGTAATTACTCACCTTAGCGAAAGTTTTCAGGAAGTACCTCACAGATATAACATAACATGTCGTATCCGTCTATATAGATATAAAAAACAGCAGGCAAACAAAACATCTTCCCAAAATTTATATTAATGTTCAATTTAAAACATCAAGTTTAAGTCCTGATCCGTTTTCCCTTTTGGCTCATGCTGCATATCTGGTTTGTTTTGTAAAAAAATATTTCGAATTGATTGTCTAGTGTTTTTTGTAGACTTGAGAAAAAAAGGGGTGGGGTGGCTGTGCATTAGCGTTTTAAATATATACACAGAATTTAGAATTTCAAATTTACAGGACATTACACCGTTAACTCTGTCATATATGTAACTACCAGTACACAGCTATTGCTAGCTAAACCTTCTACAGTATGTTTTTAAATATTCAGTATATTAATTACTTGAATGTTAGGGGTTTTTTTACCACTATGTTGCAACTATATAATCCTACTGATTTCTTATATCAATTATATCGGCTATACCCAAAGTTTGACTTCATAAGTTAATTAAGTATTTTATGGCGTCAAAATTGTAACTTTGATTACCAATGGCCCTCCCAGCTGGAAGATGGCCATTTTGTTCATTATAACAAGCATAAAACTGATACTAATTTGAACTAATGCTGAATTTTGCTGAATTGATTTGAAAGTTTTGTGATGATGAAATACTTCAAAAATGTTATATATATATATAGGTATTGAATTGTGTTTCAGTTGGCATTCACAGTCATTATGATTGTAAATGATGAATTTAAAGTGCCAGTGTGATTACTAGAGTTTGTCGTTTGAAAGCAGTCCAGTTCTTCATTGTCATCTGCAAGTGTTTGGTTTATCATTTTTTTTTTTTTTTAAGGGTGATTTTACGAGGACAGGTGAGCGAAAGTTTTCTGGAATGATGAAAGATGGAATGAACTCGGCGAACAGGTAACAAAATATTTCTAATAGGACCTGATCTAATCATACTTTATATCCAGGGACATGGTTCTTATAGATCCCCACCTCACCCTCTGTATATTTGTAGTATGATAATATTAACACACATATGGACCGTGGGAAAAACTATGTGTGCCATGCCCCTTTCATCTTATTAACACTGTTTGTAAGTGTTATAATGGAAAGTGGAAAAATATTATCAATAATGTACCACTAAACTATTCATTATACTGTATGTGTAGAGAAATAAGAATACCACTATAATAACTATTTTACAGTATGTGTGATCAAATAGAATAAGTTTAAAAGAAAATAGGATAAGAAATACCTACCAAATTCAATAAGTTCATATTATATGTTATCGTACATTTTAATGCTTGCAGGAAGATTATTAACCTTATGGTATACAAATCCACTTAAAAAAAGAAAAATTAGTAAATTCAATATATAATAAAGAAATTGCCACAACTGAAGCCTGGTTTCCATGAAGTATATTCTCTTTGGCATTAATATAATTGCCATAAAGTTTTAGCCCGCCGGGGTGCTATACAGGCCATCATCGTATGATATCTATGTAAATTGTGTCCCTGTTAATATGTTAACCCTTATGACCATCACCAGGTACTACCTCCGGTTCAAAGACAGTTACCGCCAGGCCTCCATAGATCTTACTTTGGGCAGGCCAGTTACCATGGAGGAATTCCTGTTGCTAGGCAACAGTAACCCAGAAGAGGAGGATGGTGCAGAGTTGATGGAGAAGGAACAGAATCTCAAACTGTTGGTGGAAGATTGTAAAGAGATGTTGATTGTGGAACCTGAACAGTGTCTAGGTGGTTGGAGTCTCATCAATGCTGACCCGGTGTAAGTAGATTGGTGAGATCTCGGAGGAGAAACAGAATCTGTAACCTAGTAACTGTTGATTAGGGACTTAAAACAAATATCAATTGTTGAGCCATAGAAAATGTTTAAGGGGGGGGGGGGGGGGGGGGGGGAGTTAATTCTAATGAATTTTTGCTGTGCATAAAAGTCCATGAATAATTCATAATCGCAAACTTCATGCAGAGTCATGCATTTTTGTGAATTTATTAATTATTCATAAAAGTTCATGGAGAATGCATAATAGCAGGTTGATGAATATTCATGAATAAGTATTCATGAATTTCAAACTGTCTGTATTCATGAATGTTCATGAATTGTTCATGACCATTCATGATTTCATGAATACCGTCTCGCAGGGGTTCCTCCATGATAATTCTATGTAATATATTTGGCGGATGTTGGAGAAACACTCTGAACCTGTAACCTTTTTGTCTTGTGAGGGCTGTAAAGAAACATAAATGGTAGATTTGCCATTGTCTAGAGTCTGCATCACTATGCTATGCACTGAGGTGTTTGGTCAGTGGGGTACAGTAAAGTTGGTAGCTGATGAGTTGGATAGGAATGTCTTAGAGGCTAGAAACTACTGTCACTGCCAACCCTGCACAGGTTCTATCTGTGGTAGAGGTATATGCATGGGAGGGAGTGAAAACCTGATGTAATGGTTGAGAAACTTGGAGAAATAAAATATAAAACATTGATGGATAACTGTAAAGTATGTTATTGATACTGTATTAACTTACCAAAGACAATTTTCCAGTCCCATGTATCATGATTTGGTGTTTCCAGTATCTGTAACCTACTAATGTACTGTGATTTTAAATGTAGTGGTTATGAGAATAAAGTGCTTCTGAATAAGGTAAAAAAAAGTTACAGCGGTATATCAAAGGTTCGATAGAGTTTGATTAACACTGCAAGGTCCTCTCTTGATGTGGGATATTCACTTGGAAGGTCGAGATTTGTGTAGGATATTTGGATGTTTGAGATTTTACCTGTTGGATATTTGAAGGTATGAATGATGAGACTTTACCTGTGTGATATTCGGAGGTATAAGACTTTACTTGTGGAATATTTGGAGGTATGAGACTTTACCTGTATGATATTTGGAGGTATGCGACTTTACCTGTGAGATACTTGCAGGTATGAGACTTTACCTGTGTGAAATTTGGAGGTATAAGACTTTACCTGTGGGATATTTGGAGGTATGAGACTTTACCTGTGGGATAGTTGGAGGTATGATACTTTACCTGTGTGATATTTGGAGGTAAACGACTTTACCTGTGTAATATTTGGAGGTATGAGACTTTACCTGTGAGATACTTGGAGATATGAAACTTTACCTGTGTGAAATTTGGAGGTATAAGACTTTACCTGTGGGATATTTGGAGGTATGAGACTTTACCTGTGGGATAGTTGGAGGTATGATACTGTACCTGTGTGATATTTGGAGGTATGATACTTTACCTGTGTAATATTTGGAGGTATGAGACTTTACCTGTGAGATATTTGGAGGTATGATACTTTACCTGTGAGATATTTGGAGGTATGAGACTTTACCTGTGAGATATTTGGAGGTATGAGACTTTACCTGTGAGATATTTGGAGGTATGAGACTTTACCTGTGAGATATTTGGAGGTATGAGACTTTACCTGTGAGATATTTGGAGGTATGAGACTTTACCTGTGAGATATTTGGAGGTATGAGACTTTACCTGTGAGATATTTGGAGGTATGAGACTTTACCTGTGAGATATTTGGAGGTATGAGACTTTACCTGTGAGATATTTGGAGGTATGAGACTTTACCTGTGTAATATTTGGAGGTATGAGACTTTACCTTTGAGATATTTGGAGGTATGAGACTTTACCTGTATGATGTTTGGAGGTATGAGATGTTACCTGTGAGATATTTGGAGGTATGAGACTTTACCTGTGAGATATTTGGAGGTATGAGACTTTACCTGTGTGATATTTGGAGGTATGAGACTTTACCTGTGGGATATTTGGAGGTATGATACTTTACCTGTGAGATAGTTGGAGGTATGATACTTTACCTGTGAGATATTTGGAGGTATGAGACTTGACCTGTGAGATAAGTGGAGGTATGAGACTTTACCTGTGGGATAGTTGGAGGTATGATACTGTACCTGTGTGATATTTGGAGGTATGATACTTTACCTGTGTAATATTTGGAGGTATGAGACTTTACCTGTGAGATATTTGGAGGTATGTGACTTTACCTGTGAGGTATTTGGAGGTATGAGACTTTACCTGTGTGATATTTGGAGGTATGAGACTTTACCTGTGTGATGTTTGGAGGTATAAGACTTTACCTGTGTGTTGACAGGTGTGGGGACCCAGACAGATCTGACATGGATGTGATTCTGCTGCTGTCTCAGAGATCAGTCTATGTAGCCTGGTAATGTATCCCCAAACAATGGCCACTGTATCTGTAAAGGTTGTAATGGTCGTGGCCATGACATTTAAATGTCCATCCAAGTAACAGTTATTACATTTCTACACACGGTTCTGACCATAACTTAAAAGATAACATTTATTGGAAAAGATCTGCACCAGTATTTCATGTATATGTTATATACTTTTATCCCTTTCACCCCTATGTAACTTTAGTAGACTCAACCATGCATTGATCTAGATGAGTCCATTATGGTTTACAGTGGTTGAGAGGGTTAATTAAGAACCCTCACTCTGAAGTCAAGGTCATGATAAAAGGTCAAAGCTGTAGCCATGTTTTGCTGGTCTCTGCCATAACGTTTACATCCAATGATAAGATATATCATGTTCTAGCTGTGTTTTTTTATCTGGAACTTCCAACTGTTTAGTAGGACCATGTGGTAAGAACAACACTGTTACCTGTGTAAAAGGACCAGTATCACTTGTGTAGTAGGTCGACCAGCACTGTTACCTGTGTAGTAGGGCCAAGCCCCTTTGCCTGTCAGTTTGATACCTGTGGTTTATACATTACAGGTATGACGATGAGGAAGAACAGCTTGTCCAATATCAGAGGATATTTCTGGAGGATATTGAAAATATAGAAATAGGTAAGAATTATCTGGTATAAAGTATAAAGTTCCCGAATTAGTTTGCCTTTTATTAATTACTGTCAACATATTTGAAGACCAAACTTGAAAATGGTGACACATTTGATATAACAAGATTTTATTGCCTTCCCTGGATGTTAAGAACATTTTTTGTATTACTGTAACGTTATTTTTCACTATAAAGATTCTTGAACTTCAGCTTCAGAACGAAGTCTATTAAAACACAGTTAGAGTTAACGGTAAACTTTGTACATGTGCATCGTAGACAAATCATAGATGTGTCCGTGATGTATACACTTCTGTACATGTTGATCCTTAAAACAATATGAGCAGGACATTTTGAAAAACTCTCCAATGAGATCTAGCCAATGAGTTAAATTTGGTACTTATAATACAGATGCATGTGTAATGGAGGTAGGGATGTCAGGGGGCAGTAAAACAAAACCATCTCAAATATTTACTATTACAATATGACTTAATTACTCTCTACACTGTAGGCTTAGAGCCGTCACTGTTCAAGTCTAAGTTTGTGTGTATGCGGTTACACTATACCAACTTTGCGGAGGACGGATTTTTCCACACATTCCGTACCCCCCGAACACGCCTCTTCAACAACATGGTTATAGCTGTCCGCAACCAGGAGGAGTCTCGAGGTATGAAATGGGTATTGTTTTAGTCCTAACAACAAATAAGGAAGGGGTATTGTGTACATGTGTGTTGATGTTTATGTAGGCGTTTGTGTGTAATTGTAAGTGTGTGTTTACTGAGATGAGGAGGAGGAGGAGGATCGAAGGAGGAGGAGGATAATGATGGTGACTTAGTGATAAGTCTTAGTTGATGATGGGTGGGGGGGGGGGGGGGGGGGGGGGGGTCTGAAATCTTTATGTTGGACATCTCCGCATCGCGAATATTAACAATTTTTAAATAACTAGTAACAACAGACAGAGAATGCACCTTGTTCTATTGGGAACAAAAATATGGAGAATGTGTATGTTTACATGGTACATTGTAAATGTGTAAAATACTGTTCCTTTTTGTTTGTGGTATCTCTGACCGCTAAATCCACCTGTTGTAATATAACTATACTAATTCGTTCCGTTTGATTTCAGAGTCGCTGAAGGCTATCCACCAGGCTTTTGCTGCAGCTAGACAGATATTCTCGCTGGACCTGGAGGCTGTTGACAGGCAGAAGCTTGACAGGTACAAATCTGTTTGTGTACTTCAACTTTCAACTCACCCTTATGCTGTAATGCATGGAGCACCTTTTTTGTCACAATTGTTTTGCCTTAAAAGATTTCTAGATTCTAGGACTAGTTGAAAAATTATTACTTAATTTGGTATTAATTATCTCTGTGCTTAGCCAATTCATGTTTGTATGTATGAAAGCTGCTCCTGGCCTACTTGGCAACAGAAGGATGAGGCCAATTAGGGTAAAATATTACTTCTAAAAAACAGGTGTAGATATTCAAACGGTTACTATATTTATCTTCAAGTGTCTATAAATGGAATATGCCCACCAAATCTAGGGTCAAGGACCAATAGGAGACATGGAGATAAATGGTCAAATACTACTCTTTAAGTATTGATGAAGGAATTTAAACCTAATTTGGTATGGAGCATCCCTGAGCAAAAGTGATTCAGTAGTGTTTCAATAAAGGGCGTGGATACAATTTGGGAAGAGGGCCAGAATAAAAAATAAGGAAAAAATGGAACTAAAAAAGTGTTGACTTTTTCTCCAGTTCCAATTGTTTATGTTATAATATTGGTTAAAAATGATCATGTCATGGCTATTAGTGAGTGTTGTTAATTATCATACTGATTTCAAATCAATGATGGCCACTGCACCCTGACTTGGTCTAATTGCTCTTTTCAACACAGCCAATTCTCACAAATTTTGTACAAATAATTTGCTCATGGTCCTGACAGGAAGGTGTTATATAGTTCTGATTGAATCCAAATCCAAGATTGGAAACCTGCAGTCCTCTGAAAAGCTAAGCTGTTTTCAATGAAATCTCTAGTTCCAACAGGTCAATTTTAACAACAATTGGTACTTGACCTGTCATCTCTCTGACCAAGTGTAATTAAGGTAGCCAACAAGGTCTCATTTTAGCAGAAACATTTTCAGCAATGCTAGCCCCTTGGGCCTCATTTTGCTTATATTTCCCCTAGAAGATATGTTTGACATAGAATGCATGTAGCTCTGTTCTCATCGACGACATGTAGCTCTGTTCTCATTGTACGACATGTAGCTCTGTTCTCATTGTATGACATGTAGGTCTGTTCTCATTGTAAGACATGTAGCTCTGTTCTCATTGTATGACATGTAGCTCTGTTCTCATTGTACGACATATAGCTCTGTTCTCATTGTATGACATGTAGGTCTGTTCTCATTGTATGACATGTAGGTCTGTTCTCATTGTACGACATGTAACTCTGTTCTCATTGTATGACATGTACCTCTGTTCTCATTGTACGACATGTAGCTCTGTTCTCATTGTATGACATGTAACTCTGTTCTCATTGTACGACACCTAGCTCTGTTCTCATTGTACAACATATAGCTCTGTTCTCATTGTACGACATGTAGCTCTGTTCTCATTGTATGACATGTAGCTCTGTTCTCATTGTACGACATGTAGCTCTGTTCTCATTGTATGACATGTAGCTCTGTTCTCATTGTACGACATGTAGCTCTGTTCTCATTGTACGACATGTAACTCTGTTCTCATTGTATGACATGTACCTCTGTTCTCATTGTATGACATTTAGCTCTGTTCTCACTGTACGACATGTAGCTCTGTTCTCATTGTATGACATGTAGCTCTGTTCTCATTGTACGACATGTACCTCTGTTCTCATTGTATGACATGTAACTCTGTTCTCATTGTATGACATGTAGCTCTGTTTTTATTGTATGACATGTAGCTCTGTTCTCATTGTACGACATGTACCTCTGTTCTCATTGTATGACATGTACCTCTGTTCTCATTGTATGACAGGGTACTCTGTTCTCATTGCATGACATGTAGCTCTGTTCTCATTGTATGACCTGTAACTCTGTTCTCATTGTATGACATGTAGCTCTGTTCTCATTGTATGCATGTAACTCTGTTCTCATTGTATGACATGTACCTCTGTTCTCATTGTATGACAGGGTACTCTGTTCTCATTGCATGACATGTAGCTCTGTTCTCATTGTACGACATGTTCCTCTGTTCTCATTGTATGACATGTACCTCTGGTCTCATTGTATGACATGTTACTCTGTTCTCATTGTATGACATGTAGCTCTGTTCTCAGTGTATGACATGTAGCTCTGTTCTCATTGTATGCATGTAACTCTGTTCTCATTGTATGACATGTAGCTCCGTTCTCATTGTCTGACATGTACCTCTGTCCTCATTGTATGACATGTAACTCTGTTCTCATTATATGACATGTAACTCTTTTCTCATTGTACGACATATAGCTCTGTTCTCATTGTATGACATGTAGGTCTGTTCTCATTGTACGACATGTAACTCTGTTCTCCTTGTACGACATATAGCTCTGTTCTCATTGTACGACACCTAGCTCTTTTCTCATTGTACGACATGTAACTCTGTTCTCATTATATGACATGTAACTCTTTTCTCATTGTACGACATATAGCTCTGTTCTCATTGTATGACATGTAACTATGTTCTCATTGTACGACATATAGCTCTGTTCTCATTGTACGACACCTAGCTCTGTTCTCATTGTACGACATGTATCTCTGTTCTCATTGTATGACATGTAGCTCTGTTTTTATTGTATGACATGTAGCTCTGTTCTCATTGTATGACATGTAACTCTGTTCTCATTGTATGACATGTAACTCTTTTCTCATTGTACGACATATAGCTCTGTTCTCATTGTACGACATGTAACTCTGTTCTCATTGTATGACTTGTACCTCTGTTCTCATTGTATGACATGTAACTATGTTCTCATTGTACGACATATAGCTCTGTTCTCATTGTACGACGCCTAGCTCTGTTCTCATTGTACGACATGTAACTCTGTTCTCCTTGTACGACATATAGCTCTGTTCTCATTGTACGACATATAGCTCTGTTCTCATTGTATGACATGTAACTCTGTTCTCATTGTATGACATGTAACTCTATTCTCATAGTACTACATATAGCTCTGTTCTCATTGTACGACATGTAACTCTGTTCTCATTTTATGACATGTAGCTCGTTCTCATTGTCTGACATGTAACTCTGTTCTTATTGTATGACATGTAACTCTGTTCTCATTGTATGACATATAGCTCTGTTCTCATTGTATGACATACATGTAACTCTGTTCTCATTGTATGACGTGTAACTCTGTTCTCATTGTCCGACATGTAGCTCTGTTCTCATTGTATGACATGTAACTCTTTTCTCATTGTACGACATATAGCTCTGTTCTCATTGTACGACATATAGCTCTGTTCTCATTGTACGACATATAGCTCTGTTCTCATTGTACGACACCTAGCTATGTTCTCATTGTATGACATGTAGCTCCGTTCTCATTGTCTGACATGTAACTCTGTTCTCATTGTAAGACATGTAACTCTGTTCTCATTGTATGGCATGTAACTCTGTTCTCATTGTATGACATTCTGTTCTCATTGTATGACATGTACCTCTGTTCTCATTGTATGACATGTATCTCTGTTCTAATTGTACGACATGTAGCTCTGTTCTCATTGTATGGCATGTAACTCTGTTCTCATTGTATGGCATGTAACTCTGTTCTCATTGTATGGCATGTAACTCTGTTCTCATTGTATGGCATGTAGCTCTGTTCTCATTGTACGAAATGTACCTCTGTTTTCATTGTATGACATGTAGCTCTGTTCTGATTGTATGACATGTAACTCTGTTCTCATTGGATGACATGTAACTCTGTTCTCATTGTGCGACATGTAGCTCTGTTCTCATTGTACGACATATAGCTCTGTTCTCATTGTATGACAAATAGCTCTGTTCTCATTGTATGACATATAGCTCTGTTCTCATTCTATGACATATAGCTCTGTTCTCATTGTATGACATCTAACTCTGTTCTCATTGTATGACATCTAACTCTGTTCTCATTGTATGACATTCTGTTCTCATTGTATGACATGTAACTCTTTTCTCATTGTACGACATATAGCTCTGTTCTCATTGTACGACATGTCCCTCTGTTTTCATTGTATGACATGTAGCTCTGTTCTCCTTGTATGACATGTAACTCTGTTCTCGTTGTACGACACCTAGCTCTGTTCTCATTCTACGACATGTACCTCTGTTTTCATTGTATGACATGTAATTCTGTTCTCATTGTATGACATGTAACTCCGTTCTCATTGTTTGACATGTAGCTCTGTTCTCATTGTCCGACATATAGCTCTGTTCTCATTGTACGACACCTAGCTATGTTCTCATTGTATGACATGTAGCTCCGTTCTCATTGTCTGACATGTAACTCTGTTCTCATTGTGCGACATGTAGCTCTGTTCTCATTGTATTACATGTAACTCTGTTCTCATTGTATGGCATGTAGCTCTGTTCTCATTGTACGACATATAGCTCTGTTCTCATTGTATGCCATGTAACTCTGTTCTCATTGTATGGCATGTAGCTCTGTTCTCATTGTACGACATGTAGCTCTGTTCTCATTGTACGACATGTACCTCTGTTTTCATTGTATGACATGTAACTCTGTTCTCATTGTATGACATGTAACTCTGTTCTCGTTGTACGACACCTAGCTCTGTTCTCATTGTACGACATGTAGCTCTGTACTTATTGTAATAAGAAGTTTGTGTTCTATCTGAACACTTATGTTTTCTTTTCTGCATCTCATATCAAATGTGCTTATGTTTGTTTTAGAAAAAAGACCAAGCCCCATCCTGATGTCCAGGACATCCACAAACAGCAGCAGGAGAACGCGTTGACTGGCATCCACATTCCTCGCGATATATCCTCACCAGACCTCGCGTATAAACACAAGGCCCTCGTGTCGCCAGATCTCCGCAGGAAGGGCCGTGTGTCTCCAGACGTGCAGAAACACGGCCTTAGTCCAAACTCTCCGAGTGCTAGTAGCGCCACCTCCCCGTCAACCAGCCCTAGCCGACCACGCCACAACATTTTACCCAACTTTGCAGACGTCAAAAAAAGTCTGAATTCAAGCATCAAGCTAAACTTTACTGTGCCAAAGTTTAGTTTGCAAAATGTGAGCCTACCAAGACGGTTTGGTGGTACCAAATCAAAAGAGGATGTTACTGACGGAAGCAACAATTCTGATGTCGTCACTTCAGATGAGGTGCAGCAGAAAAAAACAAAACTGGTGAGGAAAAGGACATACAGTCAGGATGACTCCACTGTAGGGACGACCACTGCAGCATTTGATGACTCTATGCAAGCAGAGGATGACAACATTGTGCTGGACAGTTGTGGCATCATTACAAAAGGTCGTCAGGGGTCAAGCTTTGATGACACAGAAGGATCTGCTGAAGGTTTGAAAGAGACCGTGCAAGGTATCGATTCATTAAAACTTCAAAAGGACAATGAAGATGACTCTGATCAGATCAGAGATGCTTCTAATACAAAGGGGGATATCCTGCACAAAGTAGAGAATGCTGAAGGTGATGATGATGCATATTTAGTCATTGAAGATTCTGATGTTGAGAAACTTCTTGAAGGCAAAGAGAAAACAGTGCCAAATAAGACAGTTGAGACTGTGTCTAATGTCAAAGTGCCAAAGATTGTAACGTCGGCAGCAAAAACCCGCAAACTACAACGAATTCTGGAGAGCCTACAGGAGGAGATCAGTGAAAGGTTAGATGGCAAAAGGTGCCTCACTCAGATCGTCATCGTATGACACCAGCGACCCCTAGACCTGACAACCCTCACTCGACTTGCAACTTATGAGATTTTTAGTGATTTTATCAGATTATTTAGTAGATCATTGAGAAGTTTTAATTCCATACTTATGAATATATTGATGGCATAATATAAACTTATGCAATTAGTGGATTGCAATAGAGCTGTTTACTACACCATAATGTTTTATACAACTGTGTTACTCTTGTTGTTAAGTCCTCAATTTACTGGTGGGCAGATCTTAGTATCAAAACTATAAGTACTAACTGTGTTATTTACAATGTTTCTTATATCGTTCTACCTTTGTAGTCGTAGATTTTTATCTAAATTTATTGTATATACCAACTGAAACCTTAAGGTTATATGCTACCTTATCTTTATAAATTAGAGTTATCTCCTTTTTTTTTTCTTCTTTTTTTTGTTGTATTATTGTCATCTAATGAGCCGAAACAACCTCAGTGTTATAAATGTGTGTCATTTAGTTGTCATCAGGTAAGTATGTAGGTCCAACATGTCATCTTAAAAGGCTATTCATAGATTTTTTTGTGTGGAACTCTTTTCTGAAAAGAGGTGCATATCATGGGTATGGCTAAGTTTATAGCCTTAAGTGTAGAAAGGCCTCATTTTAGCATATCAGTAGTCTTATTATAACAAGAACTAAAAGGGAGCATTCCTTAACAATACTGATATTGAAACTATAGATTTCATCACAGCTAGAAAGATCATGGTCAGAGGTGTTGTAGAATAAGTGTCGTTACAGGTCTTGTTTTTAGATGTTGAAGCATAAGTGTCTTCACAGTTTGACAAGTTTTGTCTGTAGACGTAGCGTAAGGGTTATCAGAGCTTGGCATGTTTTGTCTAGACGTACTGGGTAAGGGTTAAACAGAGCTTGGCATGTTTTGTCTTTGTCTAGACGTAGGGTAAGGGTTATCAGAGCTTGACATGTTTTGTCTTTGTCTAGCCGTAACGTAAGGGTTATCAGAGCCTGGCCTGTTTTGTCTAGACCTCCTGGGTAAGGGTTAAACAGAGCTTGGCATGTTTTGTCTTTGTCTAGCCGTAGCATAAGGGTTATTAGAGCTTGACATGATTTGTCTTTGTCTAGCCGTAGGGTAAGGGTCATCAGAGCTTGACATGTTTTGTCTTTGTCTAGCCGTAGCATAAGGGTTATCAGAGCTTGACGACACGTTTTGTCTTTGTCTAGACGTAGCGTAAGGGTAATCAGAGCTTGTTAGATTGCTTAGAGATGTTCGAAGGTAATAGTTGTCCAAACATTACGAGAGGTTTTCTAGCATTGACTTAATTTCAGACATGACATCGCTTTTTATGTGTGGGTGTGGCACCTGGTTTATCGCTGTTACGAAGCCGTTTTAGTTAATCTTGTGTTCAGACCGTCTCATTATACAACGCTCTCCTTCACCTGCCTTTATGTACATCGCCATTATTTTTATTTTAAACATGTGTTATTATATATCTGTTGTTGTGTTGAATTTTTGTTTGTTTTTCTTTTACATCAGATACAATCTAGATCATTTAAACTCACATAGCACAAGGTGCCTGTGACGCATTGATGTTGCATCTGTTTACTTTAAAATTGTTCATGTTAGAACCTTGCGGACTAGTCGTGATATATAGCACGCTGGTCTCGCTCGGATGAAGTGCTATCAAATGCAGTAAAAAAAATCCAAAAAGTTGTTGAGTAATTTATTAAGACATAGAGGTTTATTTTGTTTAAAACTTTGAAAAACTTTGATTCAGAGAGTAATATGATACTTCACATATAGCTTGCTAAAATGAAAGGCTATCGAGTGTGTTTAAATAATTGACCTTGACTTATTTTCAAGGTCTCAGGGGTCAGATGCATTATTCATGTACATCATCAAATGATTTCTTTATAAGAAGTCTGCTCTGAGCTTACTAGAGGGAGGAATAAGTCCAGTTTCCGTATTAAATATTTTCAGGAAATAACTTATACCTGGGTTATCATTTGTAATGACTGGGAGACCACTCTGCGTGTCATTTAATGGGAGACCACTCTGTGTGTGTCATCCTAACTACAGACTGTTACTAAGGTATCATACCAGCAAATAGAATTAATGTAAATCGTGTTATTTTAAAATGTTCAGGGAAACCATTTGAGTACTGGTAGCTTTAAAAACAAGATTTGAATTTTTTTTTGATTTTTTTTTTACTTGAAATCAATGCTACTGTTTTTGCCCATGCTGTGACGATAGTCTAGATGACATTAACTGATTATTGAAATTGTTTTATAAAAATCAACATATCTGAGCAGACCTGAAAGATGTAGAAAATATTGATATTTAGACTTTAAATGAAAAGAAAAATAGGTGAAAGCCAATCCGTATCTGGTATTTCTCTGTCTTCTAAAGGGAGACAACTCTAGAGTACTTTAGATTGTTATAGCCATCTAATCTTCTAAGGGGAGACAACTCTAGATTACTTTAGATTGCTATAGCCATCTAATCTTCTAAAGGGAGACAACTCTAGAGTACTTCAGATTGTTATAGCCATCTAATCTTCTAAAGGGAGACAACTCTAGATTACTTTAGATTGTTATAGCAATCTAATCTTCTAAAGGGAGACAACTCTAGATTACTTAAGATTGTTATAGCCATCTAATCTTCTAAAGGGAGACAACTCTAGATTACTTTAGATTGTAATAGCCATCTAATCTACTAAGGAGAGACAACTCTAGATTACTTTAGATTGTTATAGCCATCTAATCGTCTAAAGGGCGACAACTCTAGATTACTTTAGATTGGTATAGTCATCTAATCTTCTAAGGGGAGACAACTCTAGATTGCTTTAGATCGTTATAGCCATCTAATCTTATAAGGGGAGACAACTCTAGATTAGTTTAGATTGGTATAGCCATCTAATCTTCTAAGGGGAGACAACTCTAGATTACTTTAGAGCGTTATAGCCATCTAATCTTCTAAGGGGAGACAACTCTAGATTACTTTAGATTGGTATAGCCATCTAATCTTCTAAGGGGAGACACCTCTTTTATTACTACCCTTTGTTGGTATGGACAACTTTATAAGTTACATATAGGAGAACTAGAGATTGTATAAATGGCTGTTGTCCTCCTAAAACTTCAACATTTTCACAGAATGTATCACAATTACTGTGTTTATTGTATTATTACTATTTTTTCCTGTCACTGCCATTACATAGGTTATTGTTAATTTTTCTGTGTTTTTACATTTGGTCTAAACTTGTCTTAATTACTGGTCATGTCTCATAATTAAGGTTGTGGCTACATTCCTCGAATAATTTTTTAGTAATAATATTAAGGTTTGTATGTTCTTGATGTGATATCATAAAAATGTATGGCATTTAATGAATGTGAAATAGATTACAGTAAATATATACACGTCACAACTATTCTTTGTTTGTATCATCCACCTACATGTATTCTACTTTTTCTTCAGTGTTTCTTTTTTAATACTTACAATCTTTTAAAGTGTATACTTATATTCTGTCAATCAAACAAAAATGTATTTTATAATGTGTTTTCTCAGAATTTGAAACAAATTTGTTCTTGTTATTAAATTGTATGCATTTTATTGTTGGAGTGTTATCCTGGGTATAAGAGCAATGTTATCCCTCAATGATCTGGGGAAAAGAACAATGCAGATTCATACAATTCTTTTCATACCCCAATGAAAATAAAAAAAATCAACCTCAATGCTTAATTGATCTGGGAAAAAGAACAATGTTATCCTGCAATGATCTGAGTATAAGAACAAATTGTTATCTTTCAGTGATCTGGGTTATAAACAAGTACAATGTTATCCTGCAATGAACAATATTAGGATTTGGATCATAATTATAGCAGATGTGCAGTTACCTGTCTCATACAACCTTGAACAACACGAAAGGCTGAAGTTACTATACAATCAACAGAAAAACCTCGCAAATGGGAGTTTTGATATATTCATTCATTATAAGATACTGGTTATTTGTTAGTTATCATACCGATGTTTTCAAGTGCCTGCTGACATGCTAAGTAATTACATGTAGATTTACTGTTATTATTTCTTGTTTGAACACCAACATTGATCATCATGGCGATGTAGTTTACGTGGTCACGGTTTAGCTAAACTCATTTAGTACTGACACATTTCCCAACAAAAATTTATTGCATTTCTCCACAAAGCGCATTTATATTAAGGAGTCACATTTCAACCTAAAAACGTTTTCTGTACAGTTGAATTTCCCCAAAGAATTACATTTATATTATATAGTTCAATGTGTCTACAGAAGGCATTAAGATATAGATACATGTCCCCCTTTAAATAATTTTCTGTATATATAGTTTACATTCTATTACATTTTCCAAAAGAATAAATCTATGTATATATAATTACTCTTTCACTTAGAAAACATCCCTTTGCAGTTAAATTTTTCCGACAGAGTACATTTAGATATAGTCACATTTCCCCACAGAGAACATTTAACAATAGTGACATTGACCCATAAAATGGTAATTTCTGTCAGTTTTATTTCCCACAGGTGAAAATTTTCCATATGTAAAATTTCATTGCCTGTACATATTATAATCAAGTACATACCAGGCTTTTTCAGTAAACACCTAGTGAGGAAGGTCTTACTTAAAACTGCCATTCCTCTAGCAATTCAGAATATGGGGCCTTCATTACCGTTTAGCAGTTATTTGATAACAAAACAGTTATTTCATAAAAAAAGTGCATTTAACATTTCAGCAAAAGTTCTTTTTTTGGATATCAATATTTTTTTTTAATCTATTTTTACTCTATCACTTCCTACTCCTTTTTTTTTAATTTTCTCTGTAAAACTTGTTTATCGTATGAAATGTTGATATACAACATTTACTAACGTATTACTGTAGTGATGTCGGAATGTCTTGTGTGAGTATACTGACTGTACCAGTCAAAGCAATATTATCTTAGTTTATATATCAATTGTTGGCTGTTATCTAGGAATGTGTTCCATCATGAAAATGCATAATAATTAACATTGATAAGTTTTGAAAATGATGTCTAATTATTGTTACACTGTACATAATAAATCTGTAAATCACTCAAAGTTATATCAGTTGTGAGGAGAGTCCATCATTAATTCATAAATCAAGTTGAAAATATTATTTTGGCATATTTAAACAAACGTTGCATACTTTGAAATCACATTTTTTGTTTGGTATTTTTAAATAATCTGATTTCATAAATTCATATAGCTCCACAGAGAAATTAAAACTTTGACATCAAGCAACTCTCCTTATGAGCGGTTTCTCAAAATCAACAAATTCTTGTACCATCGAAATGGTGTTTTTGTGGAAAACCTTTTGGCCCCATAAAAATATCTGATTTCACAGTATACATTATTGTTCCTTTTACGAAATCACTAGTACTGTTCAGTAAAACGTTATTACATTTCCACCGTCTGTCGAGTGATAATTTTGGCATTACAAAGGAGTATGGCAATACATTGAGATAGACACGGAAGGAATACTATGATAACAGGAATAGAGGACGGTAGGAATACAACATACATGGTAATTGAGCTGGCAAATGAAAGGAGCCTATAATATTTCAGGATTAACTTGAAAATATTTTTTATGTTATGGAGATATAACACAAAGAAACGGAGTGTACTCTGAATAAACCGCGAAGCAGTTTATGATGAGAGTACACTCCGTTTTTTTGTGTTATAGCTCCATAACATAAAAAATATATTCAAGTTAATCCTTATAATTTAATCTACTTTACACAATCCCTGTGGAAATCAACTTTTATTGATGGACTCTTTTCTCTTAGAAATTATTAAGCCGCTATATCGGCCAATCGAAAACAATGTTACAAATGGCGACTCTTTTCTCTTAGAAATTATTACGCAGCTATATCGGCCAATCAAAAACGACGTTACAAACGGCGACGTCATTTTTTTACGTTATGGGCTGATAACATAGTTTTTGAGGCCAATAAAAAGGTTTGTTACAAGCGAGATTAAATTATTAAAGGTTTGCTGTATGTTGTGTTAATAACATTGAAGTAATTTACATAAGCTGTTATCTGATTGGTTGTACTTACATCGTTTGACTAATAAAGATAGTACAATGTCCATCATTGGATCAGATTAGACAATTATTTATACATGTATATATGTGTTAAGTGGAAAATTGTCTGCATCTTGAACGTCAGTAAATGACCATGATTTTGTAACTTTTTGACAATAGAACCTGGTGAAATTCAATATGTTAATCACATAGAGATGGTAAGGGATGAGACACCATATATATATATATATATATATATACATCTCCTAAGTTCCAGGGCTAATACCCCCTCTTACATTATCTGCACTCTGGGAATATGTCCTGACAAAATGCTCAGTGAGCGCCACCTAAGTTGTGGATGATACAAATAGACTAAGTTTGATCCTTTGGTGTGCATCAAAAGAATCATGCGTTAGTGTAAAAGTATCAAAAGCTTTCAAAACGGGTGTCACTCCTCTGTAAACTGCAAAGGACAGTTATCTGCCTAGCAATTGGTCAGGTTCTGTCACCTGAGACAGATCAAATAGCCAACTTTGTGCCTTCAGTTTTGTCGTGACATACCCTCGGGGTTTGTAGAGGATGTTAGTGAACGAAACGTTACCACTGCAGTATTCAGGATCATCACACTGCATTGTATATTCTCTGTGAGGAAAAGACCGACACTAAACCAAAATCACATTGATAATGTTGATCTCAACAGACTTACTCCATGAAAATCTAGATAGTTTCAGCAAAATCTTACCTATCATTGTCATAGATCAGCAGTGTTTCTCACTTTGCTGTAACCATTTACTTGACTGTTCTATTTACAGGATTACAGTGCTGTTCTATTAAGTGGCCTGACTTACACTAAATGTCAGAATAATGAAGTTTTTTCTGTGAAACATTTACCTCAGTATAACATGAATATGACACTGTTTTAATGTTTGATATGTTAGATGTGTACTGTGTTACTATTGCTGTCACTGCGATAATTCACTCAGAAATCTCTTCCATGATCTGTACCAACAATGTCAAAATTCTCTATTATCACCAAAAACTGTGTCACCTGACCAATAAGTCAGACACATGATATCTACCACCCAAATCTGTGTCACATGACTCATAACTTTGTCACATAATTTGTACTTCAGGCATTCTTAGAATTCGATCTTTATCACCGAAATCTGTGTCACCTGACCCTAAGTCTGTCATGCGACTTTTACCAGAGTCAATGTCAGACTTCCCCATGCCCACCCAAATCTGTGTCACATGACTCATAACTTTGTCACATAATTTGTACTTCAGGCATTCTTAGAATTCGTTCTTTATCACCGAAATCTGTGTCACCTGACCTTGTGTCTGTCATGCGACTTTTACCAGAGTCAATGTCAGACTTCCCCATGCTCACCCAAATCTGTGTCACCTCATGACCCTGTGTCTGTCATGCGACTTTTACCAGAGTCAATGTCAGATTTCCCCATGCTCACCCAAATCTGTGTCACCTGACCCTGTGTCTGTCATGCGACTTTTACCTGAGTCAATGTCAGACTTCCCCATGCTCACCCAAAGCTGTGTCACCTGACCCTGTGTCTGTCATGCGACTTTTACCAGAGACAATGTCAGGCGTCCCCATGCTCACCTAAATCTGTGTCACCTGACCCTCTGTCTGTCATGCCACTTTTACCAGAGTCAATGTCAGACTTCCCCACGCTCACCCAAATCTGTGTCACCTGACCCTGTGTCTGTCATGCCACTTTTACCAGAGTCAATGTCAGACTTCCCCATGCCCACCCAAATCTGTGTCACCTGACCCTGTGTCTGTCATGCCACTTTTACCAGAGTCAATGTCAGACTTCCCCACGCTCACCCAAATCTGTGTCACCTGACCCTGTGTCTGTCATGCCACTTTTACCAGAGTCAATGTCAGACTTCCCCATGCTCACCCAAATCTGTGGCCAACAATTTGTCATTGAACTTGTATCAGCAGTCTCAAAATTCTCAATCACCAACTAAATCTTTGTCACCTAACTCATAACTCTGTCTCACGACCAGAACAAACACTTCAGGTTTTGTTAATCTGCCCCACAGTGTTTGTAATCAAAGAGACGACCATTTGTTTCGATGTCAGATATTTCTGTGTGGGTTTGTTATAGTGTTCTATACAATACCATGTGTTCTATACACTGTTCTTGTTATGTACATCATACATGTTACATGTACTGTGTACAATGCTTCATGTCCATTATACATATTTTGTGTACACTGTACTTGTTTTTACATGATAGTTCTGTAACATGCTGACTTGTTCTTTATGCATTGTACTACATTGTATGTTTTGTGTACACTATATGTTTTGTACACATTGTATATGATATGTACACTGTACATGTTTTGTAAATTGTATATGATATGTACACTGTACATGTTTTGTACATTGTATATAATATATACACTGTACATGTTATTTGTCGTTGTATATGATATGTACACTGTACATGTTTTGTACATTGTGTATGATATGTACACTGTACATGTTCTTTGTACATTGTATATGATATGTACACTACATGTTTTGTACATTGTATATGATATGAACACTGTACATGTTTTGTACACATTGTATATGATATGTAAAGTGTACATGTTCTTTGTACATTGTATGTGATATGTACACTGTACATCTTTTGTACATTGTATATGATATGTACACTGTACATGTTTTTTACACATTTTTTGTTTTATATACACAGAGTATGTTTTGTTATACACACTAGTTCTGTAATACACTGAACTTATTCTGTACACATTGTTTTATGTACATTGTACATGTTCTTATGCACTATGTAATATATACACATTAGTTATGTTATACATTGTACACACACAATGATCTGTTGTGTAATTGATAAGATTACAATTTGCTGGTGACCTTTCCACAGTTCTGTTGTACAGAGCGCTACACGTGTGATATGGTCACTGTTCCTCTGTTCCCTTGTATGTAGACTTTCATGATCAGTAAAGGAACAAATAGCTGCATGCTTTTGTGTTCTTTGTAACAAATAATAAGGACGTAAGTTCTTCTAGATAAGAGTCTATGGTAAAGTAATGTACATAATAAACATAAAGGTACCCCAACGAGTGGAGGTTCCAACTGTTGCATTAATGACGAAGCTGATCAATTTTGATATCGTGACACAAAAAGGCCGTTGTGTAGAGAGTGGTTATCATGAACTTACTACACTATCACTGGTAGAGTATGTATCTGCCCAGTTGTGCAATGATGTGTTGAAGATTTTGTTAAACAGGAGAAGTCTGCAATGTTTATCACTAGTTAGGTATCGTAACTTTGAACCTGTTAAAGAAATGATCCCAATGAAATCGGTCTGTCTTTTGATTATTTTCCCAAATAACTTGTTGATTAACCACTTTTATTGCATACAGAATCATATGTTTCGATTGTGTTTGAATAGATGCAGAAGTGGCAGGACTTTTCTTCCACGAAATAAAACTTCCTTGGCGTCACGACCTGAATTGAAAAGATAACTTATCTTGTATCCTTACTCGGTAGTTGTATTCTCGTTGTTTGTTATATAGAAATATCACCTCTATGTTGCACCTTCTATAATACCCGACACTATTAACGGCAAAGCAGAAGACGCTTACTCTTCCGAAACACTTGGTCTTATTCTTCTTGTACTTTTTCAAGGGTCTCCATATAAAGCTTCCCTTCGTTCATATGTTGCCAATGTTTTAATTTCTAATTACGGTTTTGTTAATACTTCATTATTCGTTTGTCGTTTTCTGCTCACTTTGGGGAGACCAGCAGCTAATTTCCTGGACTTTCATTCTCATTTTTGAATATCCTCCTACGAAGTATTTGAAGTTTGTAGCCGTAATCATTTTGCTTCGACCAGACAAAATAAATTTTCGTTAGTGGTGTGTATCATTTTCCATGGCTTCATCTAACTCCATGAAAATGTATTCATTGTTGCTGTCCAGTCTAGTTATGATATTATCCTGTTAGTTGATCTCATCTTTTACAATACGCTCCTGTTCAAATCCGCTAAAATCAGTTGTTCATTTCTGATGAAGACATTACAACAATCCTTTTCTATTCTTAAACTTCATATCTTGACATTTACCTTTACATGTGACGAATAATGGTCACCTCACTTCCAAACTGACTAATATTACACCCTTAACTTACGATCGTTAAGTGTTCTTTCCTTTTATTAGTAGCAACAGACCAGCGTTCCTCTAATGTTTAGTACATGTTTATCTGGATATAATGCGTTGCTATTTTGTACTTATCATCACCTTCTATTAGTTTTTATAATGATATTTACACAAGAAAAATTAACAAGACAAGATCTGCTGATTATAAGACTTTATATGGATTTTTATATTCTATTAGCACTTGGTTCTATGTATCCGTCCGTTCAACTGTAGCACGGAGGACGTTAAATACAAAGGTTTACTCTTGTTCGATGTTGCGGAGCTGACATCAGGTGCAAGAGTCAACTGCTGCTGTTGAAATCATGACGCAAAACACTCTTGTTCCGAGAACAGCAAGAAATTGAAAACGTTTAAACATATAGGACATGTGGACAACGGGCTTTTACAGTATATATAGCAGAGCATTCTAAGTGAAAGTATCCTGTTATGTTACGAGAGTCGGAGTACTCCCCCCTTACTTCATGGCAGGTATATAAATATACCGACCAAGAGAATGAGTGTTAGTAACAGAATTAACGCGACAACATATATATTAAAACTGGTTATCTGTTGAAAAGGGACACATCTTGTAGAACGGAGATTAACTGAATGACGATGTGGAAGTTTGAAAAGAGGAATGTATTTGTTGAAAGGTAGGTAACTTATAAAACAGACTAATGTAAAAACACATAATGTAGAATATGCTATTTTAAAAACACCCAATGTGTTGAATGGTGACAAGTTGAAAGTTGAAAGACCCACGTCTCTTAAATTGATTATTTTGAAGGGAAATATGTGTATCGTGGAACAATGAACAGTGTAAGACACATCTTAGACACCATAAGGAACGGAGATAAGTGGAAAGGCACAAACCTGCAGGCAGAATAGATTTTAGTTTAAAAGGAACATCTTTCAAAATGGATAATGTAAAAACACATTGCCGATTATATTATTTTAAAGACATTAATGAAGTAGAATTTAAAAGAAAGGGACATATTTTGTAGAAAACAGGTTGGTTGAGAGGAGCATAGATTATGGAGTAGGTACCCTAATTGGTTGAAAGACGCGCCAGGTAGAATAGAGATTAGTTATAGGTAACTATTATTTTTCGATGAAAGATAATCATATACAATAAGGATTAATTAACATTGTGTAAAATAGGGATTCATTAAACCCATGTATCATGTAAAATAGGGATTCATTAAACCCATGTATCGTGTAAAATAGGGATTCATTAAACCCATGTATCGTGTTAATACAAATACAAATTTTGGTGTTCAGGATGATACATTGATACGCTAAACAATAAACGTACTAAAGGGGAAAAACTAGTAACTAGACATCGAGTGTTTTGTGTGACATCAGGAACCGATGTTCCTAACACACAAGTTATTCACTGTATACAAATAAATCACGCCAGTATTAAATACAGTGATAGGGACTTTGTGTTTGTGCTCCTTCCTGAGCGTGTAGAAGTGCGAACGACAAGATTAAGTTCACGTCTTTCGATTAAATTTTGTTGTAAACGCCTGTGGTTCAGAACGATGACGTTCATTGGACTCCGTCGTCAAACAACCTTTGCTCTTTCAACGTTTGAAGTCAAGGCACGAGAAACCACAATGCTTTGTGGTCATCAGAAGTCGCGGTATCCTGATCATCAGCGTGTGGAGGACAAGATGGCAGAGCCAGACAGACTACGCCGTCTGCCGAAGTCATGAGATAAACTCCTTTCTTTAGACCCGTGATGTAGAGGATTCGGCATGAAAGGCAGAAACCGTAGTATCTTGGAATTCTTGTACCTATCATAGAAGATAGGGTTATACACTTCGTATCCTTCTGAGTAGTCGGACCCAGTGGTAGCGGAAGCGCTGGTATCATCTGGTGTCTCCCAGGCCGCAATGCCTCGCTCTTCTCTAGTTCCTGATGAAAGAAAATTATATTCTGGAGCTCAATCAAACGTTTCTATACGAAATATAGCCCAAATTCCTCCGCCATCTAATGTAAGATATATACATTTATATAAAAACAAAAAATTCGCAAGAGGTGTAAACAGCTGTACCAACGAAGGCCCGAAGAATCGGTCTTCTTGTGTTTTTGAAGTTTTTGTATAATTTTCCTGTCACACAGTCTACAGTTCCATTTTGTATTTTATATTAATAAATAAATTATTTCCCTGATCAAGTATTTTTTATACGGCTTTACGTATTGTATTGTTCGTGTTTAATGCTTATAATGGCAAAAGGATCAAAACAAATGGTAAGCCTACCTGGAATTGTGTTGTCAAGGAAACATGCCAGGACACCGCCTGCCAGGTTAGGGTTCCCTAGAATCATGGTGATAATATCGTCTGCTTCTTTATTACCTAATTGAATATAAAATATTATGACAATATCAGTATGATTAGATTATATAATTCTTCGTACAAATTGAAGAAAAGGCTCTTCTACTTAAAAAAAAGCAATCGATCAGGACAATTTGCAGAAAACCTAGCTGGTAAATATCATTGACGCTTACCGCATCCACAATCATACTATTTACTGAAAAAAATGTATTTAGGCATTTTAGGTTAACTTCTGAAAATCTGAAAATGGGTGCAATTAGTAGGAATTTGTATTTTGATAGTTGCATTTAAAATAACCTTTCAAAATTTGACGTTCATTTAAGAAGTACCCCTCTCAAAAAGAAGGGCGTTCTGAACACATCAATACCGTGTGTTCTCCAACAGAATTGTAGTGGCTGTGACTATTTTGTGCCTTGAATAGATTAGGACATTGAACCTCCTAATTGTTGTAAAGTTCCATTTCTTCTTCAGTGCCATTACAACCTAAAAGACGTTGATCGGACGATTCGACGTACGCCTTATCCTTCTTTCCAACTCGTACGATAAATAATCTGTCGCTGAAAGATGGTTAAGTTTAAGGTGAGGTCATTTTTGGTTGTCAGATAATCACGACAGAACATCGCTACATGCGGTAACGCGTTTTCCTGCTGTACAAGAGGAACAATACGCGGCGCTACTACTTGCTACATGCATCTGAAGCGGCAGTGCTATTGTATTGTATTAAGACCAGTGCAGTACTGATACCATGTATAATCCCTCCCTATAACATATGACCTATCCGCTCCAGAGCGGTCCTTCTCTAGCACGCAATGAATGGCTTCGAACATGAACCTCGGCTTACTTGGAACATGGCATTTTTCCAACTTCGCATTTAAGTTTCTTATGGGGTATGCGTTCAGTTGCTGCGTTCGCCTGGCTGGCGCGTAGCTGCACATTAAACTGTGTGTCAACATATTGCCTCTGTGGCCTTATATTGAATGTCGATGGACGATTTCGCACTATCTTTGGATCACAATGATACTTGTTGTGTACTTTGTGATTTCTGTTGCCGTAAGAACGCGTTTTCACTTAATCGAATTTAGTATTTTCCTACACTGCCGACGCGTCGTCAAGCGTGGGCAACCCATATGTTCTACAACCTTTCCTATGACATGGAGATAAGGCGGGAAATAGTTGATGGATTGACTCCAAATTACCACTACAAATACGATGTAAGGTAGCTAAAAGTGACATGATCTTGCGGGTCACCTTACATAGGCATACAATGACGCGTTTTCCATCAACTTCTGAAAAGGCTCGGTGTTTTAAGGTTAATCCGTCATTGACTGGTATGAATTAAGGTTCTCCAAGAGTGTTATTGAGTTATGTTTTATTCTTGGTTCGGAATCTCATTTTTGAAGAAATTTTCCCGGTTATTTCGTTTTGCTTTCCATACAGTATACATATATTTAAAGTCTTCTCAGAACTATGTTGGATACATGTATATCCCGGTCAACGTGAAGTTGTATTTTCAAACTTTGTTTTTTTAAAGTTTAATTTAAACCTTCTTCGCTTGGATATGCCTACCTGTGTCGATGACGTTGTCGTACTCCTCCACCCAGTGAGGGATCATCAGACCAACAAGTAGAGAGGTTCCGATGATAGCAAGGTTCCGAGTGGACGACAGATCCACAGACTTCAGATTTGACAGGACGACGCCATTAAAGACACCAAACATGACGATGAGGACGCCACCTAGCACCGGATACGGTATTGTGATGAACACAGCGGATACTTTTCCAATGACACCAAATACTATATAGATGAGGGCGACGGTAATGAAAACCCACCGACTTCCAACCTGAAAAAAATAGCATTCAAACTCAATCATATGAATATCTTGAAAGCAAACATAAAATAATTCAACTCCTGTGTGATTTACTAGCATAGGATGGACAGAAAAAGCCATGTATTAAAATTGTGATTGATGAATCGGCAAAGAAATGTAGAAACCGTTTTCTTGCCCTAACTCTGATTTTTGGATGCTGTTTAAAGACATTCATAGCGCTCCTCGCCAAGCCTGGGCAAATCAAAACCAAACAACAGACTTTCTTCTTCCGCGGAAGATCTTTAAATGCTGTGTTGATTATTTCATGGTATGATTAATGCTATAAAATGTTGAAATACATATGAAAACGATCAATAAATCAAAGAAAAAATGTAAAAACTTTACTAAAAGACGAGTTTTTTCAGTGAGCATCATGAACTTATCAATCTCAGATGACTACGCTTTTTGGACCGAATAATTTCTTAACAAAAAAAAACAACAACACTTTATCTCCTTCCGCGAAAGATCTTTAGATAATGTGCTCATTATTTCATGATAGGATCAATGCTATAATATGGTAAAAATTATCTGTATAAGACAAAAAAAAAATCAAAGAAAATATGTAAAGATCTTTAACAGTGGCGTTTTTAATCAGTGAAAGTTCCGATCTATATCTGGTTCAAATTACTACGCATCGTATTCCAATACTCTAAAGTGAGTGTGTAAGAGTTTTCTCCTCTTGACAATCATTGCGTAGTTTCATGCTCGCGACTTGTTGAACGACTGTTTGATAACTGTCCTTGATCAAGTAGGCTTCGTGTTTTCTTGTCTCAATGGAAAGTCTCCAAGTGAAAGAGAATGTTGACTTATACTAAAATAGCCGTTAGCGGCTGTGCCTAACGAGTTTATAGATAGCTTCCCAATACGACAGCAGCTGTGTCTAATGAGTTTGTAATTAGCTTCCCAATACAGTCTCTAGATAATGGCCCGATTAGTATATACAAGTGCTTCGTGAATATAGCATATTGAACATCAAAAATTAAAACCGTATATACATATTATTCACATTAACCAGAAACTGAAGAAATATATAGGTCTTTAACCTTCGTTACAATATCGAGAGAAGGAGAGATACACAAGGGACTTGTATAAGTCCGTGATTACACGCACTGGAAATAATACAATCTCGTTTTTAATTTTTGTATAATTAATCATGATAATAACAAATAGTAATAATAATATAACAATTATTTATTTATATTATCTATAATATTTATACATTGTATATATATTTTTATTATTTAATCGTAAACTTGCCCATAATCTTACGGGACAATTTTGGTTTGCAGGGTTGTCTGGTCAAGGTCACTGCTACTATTTTTAATAAGATCATTGTCTGCGCTGTAGCAGCTTCAATCCTTGAAGGATTTTAATCGATTTGAAACACTAATTAAGGAAAATAATATCAGACAAGTTTCAATTGTTTTAGCAATACTCTGCTTGCTATATATATTTTTATTGAAAATTATGGTTAAGGGATGGGCTATTAGGACCCTTAGTCAAGAACATGTTCTTTATTATTTACTGCCATTCTGTACTGATATACCACCTCTTTATTCCATTATTTGAATCCTTCATACACAGCATCCCTGAGTGCCCTCGGCACTTTGATTTTTAATTGTTGGGGTTGCAAAGTCAAATTATTGTTTTTTAGTAATGTGAGGGAATTTTGAAGAGATTCATATATTATTTCAAACATCCAGATTTTACTTTTTACTGTGTTTCAGGCTTTCAGTGAATTTCAAGGAAACTTGTTTTAACCCAGAATGCTCTGCTGTACTTATTTTCTTCACCAAGGCAAGACTGGATACAATAAAGCAGCGACACCTCAGATAACGTTCTCTACCAAACAATTCCTTCAGTCGTGACTGAATTAAAACACAATGCCGGTTTAACTTATCCGGTCTTAATGTACAAACTTCTATAAAAAAAAAAAGGCAACTAACAAATGTTAGGACTGGGGTTATCTCCCCTGAAATTATTATTGAAATGAGATATCTCACAGACCAGGATAGATATACATAGCAGTGTTATAAGCTTGTGCATGATAACGATTTCATAAATACGGGCGTAGATTATTCTTTCCTTATTCTACTCTATACATAATGTAACTAGGGACACTGGAAATTAAAACAAAAAAGTGATCACATTGTTAAATGTCTCTTAAACATCTACTGAACGTACCCTTGTCAAACCAATGGCTCCTATATTACCCCCGTAGGTGGTAGTTGCATGACCGCAACCAACTGCTCCTGAAAGCGCAGAACAAAATCCCTCAATGGCGATACCCCGGTTAACGCCTTGCGCAGGAGGCGGTGGAACATTGCAGGTTGCAGCGCATGCGTAGTAGTCGCCAATTGAATCCAATATGGAAACAATTGTTGCCACGAAAAATCCAACAAATGCTGATATGTTGAAGCCAATTTTTCCGAACTGACCTGAAAAACAGTGTTTTCTGTGAAAGGCAAATTTGAAACTTCCCTGTTTAATGATCAATGATAAAAAATAACATTGTAAGTTTTCACCTTTCATTTCATGCTTAATATGTTTACAAATGTTTTCCTTATTCTTCATTATAAGTTGATGACCACACATTAATAATACTGGATAAACGAAAAACAGGAGGGGTTGTAATTTGAGAAAATGTATCCCTCTGTTAGGCCAACTCCTGTTGACATTTAAGTATCACTGTATTCGATCTTGTAAGAATAAGGGACTGTTTATTCTTTTGTGTGGTGTTAAACAACCTCACACTGGCTTAGGTCATATGAAGGCAGGTGTCTAGAGGGACTTTCGAAAAAAGGGAAGCAATGAGAAAAGATATGATAAATATCCAACGTGTTGTAATTAGGCAGCAGATCAATTTTGATTACTTCATCGTTTCCTAAGCACAATACACACACTAAAACCCTTTATCCTACAGGGAACCCCCTCATTTGTTGTCTCGTTTGATCCATACCTTCCCCTACTTTGTGGATATGACAGAAAAATCTCCAACCCGAAGGGTGAAGTGTCTTAACCTTAGTCTAACCCGAGGCTCTAGGGATGATTATTTTTCTACCATCCTGCTATTTCAGTCAAAACTCCACCGACAGTATACGTACAATGTAGTCTGCCATGTTTGTAAACAAAAACACATGTGAGGTATGACTTCTAATAACGTCACAATTACCGGTGACACATTTTAATGATGTCACAATTGAACACATGTTAATTGGAACGAGGCCATCTCCCTTTAGAGGGTGACAAGCTGATCTTTCCCGGCTTACACGGGGTATTCAGTTGGTGTTGACAAGAAAATAGAAGCGATGAAACACATTCCTTAAAACAAATCTAACGTTTAATTTATCCTTTTGAATCAAATATAAAATCGAAGCATGACAGCCGTGATGGAAAGCAGAAGAGCTACGGATATGAGTGGTGTCACCCTTACCGGGATAGGGGAAATAGAACCAGCTGGCTCTACTTATGACATCAGTTCTTGCGTCTGTTCTAGAGTAATAGTCCTTACTGGCCCTGTCTGTGCTGAACACGCCGGCCGCCGTCAGTATACCACATAGTAGCCAGCCGACCGCTAGAGCTATCAGTATCTGTTAATATTACAAAGGCGAGCAATGTTATAGCATTATGAAATGCATTTGATTTATGATGATGTTCATCTGGCAATAGTAATGCCCTAAATATCAACTTATACAATTACTATGAAATATTGCGCATATATAATAAGATATTTACCCCATCAGTACAACCTTCGACATTCGAAAAGGTTTAAGGTTAAGGAAATCAACAAACTCTTACAATGTATTTTGATTCAGCTGGACATAAATGGGGTTTTTTCAAATAATATGACCGTATTCATAACACTACTTTGTGATGCTGTCTCGTGGAATTGCAGATAGAAGTCGTAATGGTTCAGTTTTATATTTACCATCCGTACATCAAAAACAGTGTGTAAAAATTGTTTTATGAAGAAAGGCTGGCATAGAATTTCATGTACATTGAAATAGAATAAACTTAACGAACAAACATCACACAAGGATAACATCATGCTCCAAAGAATATATGAAAAGACAACAACGTTGAATCGAGGAGAAACTAAAACAACTGAATTCCGTGAACCTCACCACAAAACCTGAGCGCTAAAAACATTATACCTGGACATAAATTCACTTCCTGAACCACATGTAACAAATAAATAAAAGTATGCAGCTAAACAACGATACATTGTAAACGTAGATATGTTTGCGCTTTTCGTGCTTAAACATTGCGCTAAATTATCAGCGCGCCAATTGAAGTTCATGTATGTGTTTTCTATTACATGTTTTGTGGTTGTGCCAATTCTTCTATACGGTAATTAGTTTACATTCGATAATGCGCTAAAATGTGAGTGCATTAAAGTAAGTATATTTACATAATACATAATACATAATAGAAAATTAGCCTTTGAATACCGAAAACTGATTATCAGAAGTAAGGTCACTATATCTTTTAACAAATAGTAAAGCCATACCATCTACACGTTTAAGAAGATTCAACACAACGCGAATTTTATAGTATAGTTATTCCATGGTTGATACCAATACGTGATTATGCATTATGTTATGAGTGTTTCTGTTTTTATGTGATCCGTTACATGGTTAACCACGATTATCCCTACGTAATCAGATCTTAAATCTGCAAGTCTTACCTGTATATGCACCTGAGGTAGAAAGTATCAGGAAGTATGGCATTAAACTTACAGCGAACGTCTGATGTAAAGGTTACCTGGTGCAGAAGGTAGCGGAAAGCATGGCAATTTATATAATTACTTATAGCAAACGCCTGATGTAAAGTGTAGAAGATGGATAGCAAACAAGTGCCGCTAATAGGAAACAACGGCCGTTGAAGCAAAATATATACTTCCGACACACCAGTCCGAAATGTTTCAACAAAGTAATAGCAATGAACAGATTTATGATGTTTTTGATCTTTTTGCATTCATAGACCACTAATTAACTTCACCCATTTTTCTGCAATGGGGCACAGTGAAGAGAGTAATGGATGACATGGTGTACGCTACATGTACTTACAGCGAAGACTTGATGTAGAGGGTATCGAATGACATGACATTGTTTTTTCCTTGTGTACACCGGTATCGGCATCTCTCTCTTACCGAGGTACAGCGATAGTATAATAGCGATCGCGCATGTCCTGAAAGGTAATATAAAATAGGTTAGAAATGTGGTGATTTGAGGGAACAAACTACTCTTGATAACCAAAACATGTATTTTGTAGTGAGAAATTAATTACTTAGGACGAAATGTCTCTCACACATTTTTGTCTCCTTATTCAAAACATCGATCATCCAATTGTCCCACTGTAAAGACAGTGTTTTAAGGGCCTAACGTTTTAATATAGAAACGTTCAATTAACTCAGACATATACTAATCCAGTAACTTTACCTGAAAACCAATGTGTCATTTAAGTCATTATTACCAACTAGAGTTCCGCTTCAGAAGTTTTTCCGTCTTTGATTCTTCTGTTATATCATATGTTGAAAATTAAACCAAATACCAGGTTGATTTGACGTAGAGTTACTTCTATTGACAAGGTGATTATCTTTCATTTTGATACTTAGCTCGTGTAATGTCTAGATAACAACATTGGCATATAGTAAAAGATCAGTCGTGGCTATGTCATAAGTTTTACCACTGGAATTTTATATATGTTTGTTATTTTGTTTCTTAATTCCGAATTTCAACTGAACTGTAAAATGCATAACAATGTACAAAATGTATTTTGATGCAACTAACATTTCCTTTTCAGAGCATTGAAATGAAATCTGAACTCACATTAATGAAATGCCCCAGTGGAACTGTGCGAATTTAGTGATCGACTTCACCATGTAAATGCCAATTAAAAGGATCGTCGGAACAATGGTTACAGGACCGATGAATCTCAGCAAAACTCCAACCAATCCGGTGGCTCCTATCAAAAGGTGTATGGCACCAGCAGCCAATAAGCTGCCTTGTAACTAAAATAAAATTGACAGGAATATGTGATACTGAATGTCACTAGTATACAACATTAACGTATCAAATGATTGTTTCGGAAAGATCTTTTGATATATTTCTAATAACCTCTTTCATGGTCCCTTTTTAATGTATGCATGTTGCTGGATTAAGAGTGTTATTGAGTATAAACAATTATCCGGGTGTGCAACTCTACATTGCAGTTCTTACATGTTCCATAATACGCGGTAATAAGTACGATATTGTTTGCAACTATGTTGCTTGCACTCAGAAATATAAAGATTACATAACAATTTGTAAATTTGCTTTCTCTGTAAAAAAAAAAAAAAAAAGAGGAAGGAACATGTAACGTTTGCATTTGGAGTTGAAGGGAAATTGTATTGTATACCCTCATTCCTGTACAGAGGATGTATTACAACCTTTGTAATAAATGTTACAATGCTTTCAATATTGAGGGCTCAATCCAAAATCATTTGATATATTCCATCAAAGGTATTGATTGAAATCCTAACAACTTTTTGAGTTGGTACATTATCTAAAACTTTTACAAAAGACCTGTAAACCTATATGAATGTAAATTAAATATTGCATTACGTAACATACTTTCTTTCATAACGGGGTCGTATTGTATGATAAATAATATTTTGAATTATGTTATGCTTTTATAAAAACAAAAGACAACCTACCCCCTGAACTGCCTGCAGAATGATTTCATCAGTGCCCTCAGGGAACACCAATTCTGTCATGTTTGTGCTGTTGTTGAATACTGAAACAAAATGTCAATTACAAAGAGGTGCTATGGCCGTCAATTTGTTGTGGAGATGTTAATATTGCTTTAAGGTTTGAACTGTTTCCTGAAATATTAAGCAGGTGATTAATTAAAACCATACACACCTGGTTAATTGTAATGGGCTTTGATACAGATATAAAATTGATATCAATGTTTATATGCAAACCATGTAATTAAATAAGCGAGAGAAAAAAAAGAATATTATAAAATGTAGCAAGTGGTGTAAAGAATTTCAAAATTTACATATTTTGTTGCGCAGTTATGTTAAGCGCTGCCCTTACAAATTGAACTTACTCAAAATTTGGTTAAAAATTGATTTTTTAGTAATTTTCTTATAACTGTTTTACTCTTCATTAGACAAAAGGCGGATTAACCAAAGATAAAACCCGTGTTACCTATAGCTTGCCGTGTTAGTTACATGTAACTGGCCGTGTAATAGATACATGTACGTGTAACTGGCCGTGTATTAGTTACCTGTAACTAGCCGTGTATTAGTTGCATGTACATGTAACTACAGCCGTGTATTAATAAATGTACATGTAACTGGCCGTGTATTAATACATGTACATGTAACTGGCCATGTATTAGCTACATGTACGTGTAACTAGCCGTGTATTAGTTACCTGTAACTGACCGTGCATAAGTTACATGTACATGTAACTGGCCGTGTTTTAATACATGTACATGTAACTGGCCGTGTATTAATACATGCACATGTAACTGGCCGTGTATTAGTTACCTGAAACAAGCCGTGTATTAGTTACATCTACATGTAATTGGCCGTGTATTAATACATGCACATGTAACTAGCCGTGTATTAATACATGCACATGTAACTGACCGTGTATTAGTTACATGTACATGTAACTGGCCGTGTATTAGTTGCATGTACATGTAACTAGCCGTGTATTAGTTACATGTACATGTAACAGGCCGTGTATTAGTTACATGTACATGTAACTGACCGTGTATTAGTTACATGTACATGTAACTGGCCGTGTATTAGTTACATGTACATGTAACTGACCGTGTATTAGTTGCATGTACATGTAACTAGCCGTGTATTAATACATGTACATGTAACTGACCGTGTATTAGTTACATGTACATGTAACTAGCCGTGTATTAGTTACATGTACATGTAACTGGCCGTGTATTAATACATGTACATGTAACTAGCCGTGTATTAATACATGTACCTGTAACTGACCGTGTATAAGTTACCTGTAACTGGCCGTGTATAAGTTACCTGTAACTAGCCGTGTATTAGTTACATGTACATGTAACTAGCCGTGTATTAATACATGTACATGTAACTGGCCGTGTATAAGTTACATGTAACTGGCCGTGTATAAGTTACCTGTAACTAGCCGTGTATAAGTTACCTGTAACTAGCCGTGTATAAGTTACCTGTAACTAGCCGTGTATTAGTTACCTGTAACTAGCCGTGTATTAGTTGCATGTACATGTAACAGGCCGTGTATAAGCTACCTGTAACTAGCCGTGTATTAGTTACATGTACATGTAACTAGCCGTGTATTAATACATGTACATGTAACTGGCCGTGTATAAGTTACATGTAACTGGCCGTGTATAAGTTACCTGTAACTAGCCGTGTATAAGTTACCTGTAACTAGCCGTGTATAAGTTACCTGTAACTAGCCGTGTATTAGTTACCTGTAACTAGCCGTGTATTAGTTGCATGTACATGTAACAGGCCGTGTATTAGCTACCTGTAACTAGCCGTGTATTAGTTACATGTACATGTAACTAGCCGTGTATTAATACATGTACATGTAACTGGCCGTGTATAAGTTACATGTAACTGGCCGTGTATAAGTTACCTGTAACTAGCCGTGTATAAGTTACCTGTAACTAGCCGTGTATAAGTTACCTGTAACTAGCCGTGTATTAGTTACCTGTAACTAGCCGTGTATTAGTTGCATGTACATGTAACAGGCCGTGTATTAGCTACCTGTAACTAGCCGTGTATTAGTTACATGTACATGTAACTAGCCGTGTATTAATACATGTACATGTAACTGGCCGTGTATAAGTTACATGTAACTGGCCGTGTATAAGTTACCTGTAACTAGCCGTGTATAAGTTACCTGTAACTAGCCGTGTATAAGTTACCTGTAACTAGCCGTGTATTAGTTACCTGTAACTAGCCGTGTATTAGTTGCATGTACATGTAACAGGCCGTGTATTAGCTACCTGTAACTAGCCGTGTATTAGTTACATGTACATGTAACTAGCCGTGTATTAATACATGTACATGTAACTGGCCGTGTATAAGTTACATGTAACTGGCCGTGTATAAGTTACCTGTAACTAGCCGTGTATAAGTTACCTGTAACTAGCCGTGTATAAGTTACCTGTAACTAGCCGTGTATTAGTTACCTGTAACTAGCCGTGTATTAGTTGCATGTACATGTAACAGGCCGTGTATTAGCTACCTGTAACTAGCCGTGTATTAGTTACATGTACATGTAACTAGCCGTGTATTAATACATGTACATGTAACTGGCCGTGTATAAGTTACATGTAACTGGCCGTGTATAAGTTACCTGTAACTAGCCGTGTATAAGTTACCTGTAACTAGCCGTGTATAAGTTACCTGTAACTAGCCGTGTATTAGTTACCTGTAACTAGCCGTGTATTAGTTGCATGTACATGTAACAGGCCGTGTATTAGGTACCTGTAACTAGCCGTGTATTAGTTACATGTACATGTAACTAGCCGTGTATTAATACATGTACATGTAACTGGCCGTGTATAAGTTACCTGTAACTGGCCGTGTATAAGTTACCTGTAACTAGCCGTGTATAAGTTACCTGTAACTAGCCGTGTATAAGTTACCTGTAACTAGCCGTGTATTAGTTACCTGTAACTAGCCGTGTATTAGTTGCATGTACATGTAACAGGCCGTGTATTAGGTACCTGTAACTAGCCGTGTATTAGTTACATGTACATGTAACTAGCCGTGTATTAATACATGTACATGTAACTGGCCGTGTATAAGTTACATGTAACTGGCCGTGTATAAGTTACCTGTAACTAGCCGTGTATAAGTTACCTGTAACTAGCCGTGTATAAGTTACCTGTAACTAGCCGTGTATTAGTTACCTGTAACTAGCCGTGTATTAGTTGCATGTACATGTAACAGGCCGTGTATTAGGTACCTGTAACTAGCCGTGTATTAGTTACATGTACATGTAACTAGCCGTGTATTAATACATGTACATGTAACTGGCCGTGTATAAGTTACCTGTAACTGGCCGTGTATAAGTTACCTGTAACTAGCCGTGTATAAGTTACCTGTAACTAGCCGTGTATTAGTTACATGTACATGTAACTAGCCGTGTATTAATACATGTACATGTAACTGGCCGTGTATAAGTTACATGTAACTGGCCGTGTATAAGTTACCTGTAACTAGCCGTGTATAAGTTACCTGTAACTAGCCGTGTATAAGTTACCTGTAACTAGCCGTGTATAAGTTACCTGTAACTAGCCGTGTATAAGTTACCTGTAACTAGCCGTGTATAAGTTACCTGTAACTAGCCGTGTATTAGTTACCTGTAACTAGCCGTGTATTAGTTGCATGTACATGTAACAGGCCGTGTATTAGCTACCTGTAACTAGCCGTGTATTAGTTACATGTACATGTAACTAGCCGTGTATTAATACATGTACATGTAACTGGCCGTGTATAAGTTACATGTAACTGGCCGTGTATAAGTTACCTGTAACTAGCCGTGTATAAGTTACCTGTAACTAGCCGTGTATAAGTTACCTGTAACTAGCCGTGTATTAGTTACCTGTAACTAGCCGTGTATTAGTCACATGTTAATGACGGTTAATGAGTTACCTGAAATGAGCCGTGTGTTGTTACACCTGTCTTTGTCTAATTCAGCCATTGCCAGTAGTGGGGCAACATAATCCGGTGTGGCCCCCTGGTACAGTGGCAGTCTGAAGGACCAAAACGTTAAGGTGTGTTGCATAAGTCACAGGGTAAATCTCCTGACTACATGTTCTATTGATAACAAATGTGATGATAAAAACAATAAAGGGTAAAATATAACAAGTGTACTACATACGTGAGAGAAAAGAGCAAAATCTAAGTCTATACAAAAACCGCAAAATAAATTATTGGAATCTTAAACTCCATTTATTACTGTGAATAAAACTAGGTCTTGCATGGAGCCGTCATGATGCTCTCGTCCACCGAACAAAGTAAACAAGTCTCATAAAAACTTCACTATTATAGTTGAAACCATAGTTTTACCTTATTCCACGGGTGATATTGAGCGATGAAGTGATGTCGTCACCTTACCTTATTCCCAGAGTGACCATAAGGAGTGTTGTGATTCCGTTCATAAATAGAGTAGAACTGAGAAGTTTGGCCTTGAAGTCCTCATTATCTTCGGCACACACGACCTGAGCCACCAGCAAGGACACCGCCAGTGACGTAGACAGGGACAACAGAGCTTGCTGTAGAGGAGGGTTACATCAAATAGTAAAGATTTATTCATTTTCTTTTTCTATTGAAATGTACATTACATCAAACTTTAAATATGCACGACCAAATATGTTCAAGCAGTCCAAGCAGCCCTTATATCAAGGATGTAAAGTCTATGCCGCTAACATATCCTTAGGATCCTTAAATCTTTTAACCAATTTCTAAAATAAGATAAAACTTTTCACACGAAAATATGTAACGATTTTTTGTGTGATTTAACTTCCACTGGTTATATTTTGGAAGCTAGTGATTTGAAACAAAGACTACGGAAACCTAGAAAATTAAGATAGTACATGCGAATGGAGATATTTTAAAGTAATACGAAGAGGGCTATCATTTTAATAATTAGTTGATACCTAAACCTAAACAACGAAAACATTTAACTGCACTGTATGTCGTCTCACCCATTCAGGAATCACCAGTGGTTTACAATCCAAGTGATCCCAAACATTCTAGCTGTAAATGCAAATATAATAATCAAAGTATGGACATCAGACATACTTATATTTCAAAATCAGGAACACCTGATACCATTTCGCTGCTAAAAGTGATTGGGACAGATCATATTGATGTGTTTTTAGGATTGATTTTGCTTTTAAAGCCCTCACTTCTTAGTGGCAAAAATTTGAATCATTGGTTAAAATTAACCACACATTGACATTGACACATAACAATAACATGAAAAGAAACTGGACAGAATACGAAGCTTGTATTTACGCACACTGATTCTCTCACCTATGTGACACAAATAGAAAATAGAGATTTTGAATAAATATAAAATATTACCTCTGGAAACTTCTACATTAC